AGCTACTTAACGTAATCTGAATCCGCGCGGTGGTAATCCTTCACGGTGAATCCGAACTGCAAAGAGTTCGTTGCCCGTAAACTCGGATAAAATCTGACCAACGGGGGAAACTTCTCGTTCTTGCGATATTTCGCGAGTGTCCGTCGCGGCGTTATGACAATCGAAATGATTCATGGTGGAACGATATATGTACAGTCATTTCTCGATGAATGCGACACGAACAACGCCGTTATTCCCACCACTGGGGGGTCCCCTTCTGGAACCAATCAAAACAGAGTAACCAGAAGCTAAACAGAGGCTCGGAATTGTACAAAAAAAAAATAAATTTATAAAGATTGCTCTGAACTGATTTCCATTTTACTCTACAACCCCAACCATGGCAATATAGTTAGTCTACTGTAGTAGCGTCTTGCAGTGATAAATATTGGTCGGCGAAATACCCCTCTTGCCACTGTGCCGTTCAGTTTCTCGGAGCTGGACAACTCCCTTTCACTCCCTGGCCACTTTTTCCCTTATTGAAAGCAGAGTTTGTTCGTGAGGGTACGTGGCCGAGAATCGCAGGAAGTGTTTCGTTCGTGGTTCTTCGAGAACTGTACCGCCCGAGAGTGAAGCACCCTCTCGATGGGTCGCACCCTCCGGTCGGGGTTAGAGTCGTCGAGGGTTACACGCGGTTCGTTGTAACGAACCGGAGTCGCGCAGAGAAATTACGGACACGTGTCCAGGGAATGGGAAAAATTAATCTACAGGGGAGAAAAAAAGAAACGCTGTTAGTGCCCTGAGGCACTGCCTCTTGATACTTGACACTTGATTTCTCTACATTGCTCGCAGTGTTCTCGAGAGTGGTCGGTTTCGAACAAACAGAAACCAGAGAGGTTATGTTAGAAGTGTTTCTCTGTTTAGAGTTTCGATCTACGAATCGACGGAACGGTGGATTTTCAAACTTTCCAAGTAGCTTCTTCTCTTTCCGGCAATGCGATTGTATTCGTCGAGGAACGTTGATCCAACAACAGGCGCGCACGGCGGTAGAACTGTCACGTTTCGAGGAGAGTTTCGACGAAATATTGTTGTTTCGAAAGTTTCGCGGTAGATACTAGTTTCGCGTTTCCCACACAATGTACGGTTTCTCTGGCATATCCACCAGCCACTTGCTTTCGCGCAGCCAAATGTGCACCTGTAAATATGAGTCTAGTAGTTTGCTGCAAGCCTGAAAACAGTCGAACGTATTCCGAAGCCGAGCGAATAAGGTTTCCTCTTTTGGTTGCGTTTAGTTCTAGTCTAATACTAGTAGGTTTTCTTTTTCTATTTTTTTCGATTCACTCATAGAGATAATACTGTATTAAATTTTATGAATCGGTTTCAACATAGGGCATGTCCCTTAGATCCATTTACCTTAGATGGTTGCGTCCGGGGGTTGCGTGTTCGCGACTGAATCGGAGAAATATAGGAAGCCAGGGAACTCGACGACGGGTACGGTTCGGTCGAGGAATCTCGTCGATAACCGTGAAACACGGTACGCGATTTGTTTCGTTCTCGAGTCGCGGCCATTTCCGTGCGAATTGTTTCGCCCATCGTTTGTTTCGGCAACAGGTGGAGCTCACCCCGAATCCGAATCTCGTGGAAAAATTCGAAACTGGAACGCGACTAGCGGTTCGCATCGATTGCACCGTAAGAATCGCGACTGAGACAGTGATTAGAGTCGACGCCAAAAAAAAAAAAAAAAAAAAAAAAAAAAAAAAAAAAACTCTTTTAAAAAGACAAGCATTAACGAAAGGGTTAACCTAATATTTTCTAATTCGTTTGAGAAAATACTTATATACCAAATACACAAAAATTTTCCGCTTTTTCCGACGTGACATCGCCCGTTTGCCAAATCGCACAGCGTCAATGATACGGAATCGCTCGTGTGCATCGGTTCTTAGTGTCCGTTGTCGAGCCACGTCGCGTCGACAGTTCCATGTCCCTGTTCCTCCGTACAAACGACTGGTCGAAGGAAACTTTCCAGTCGAGTTTCATCCGTGGGACGGTGGTCAGATTTAGCCTGATTTTCCTGAAAATCGACTACCGGTCTTGCGGCGAAGTTGAACGTTTCGCGGTTCGTCGTTGACGCGAGGCAGTTGGACGTGTTCGAGTTTCGTCCAATTGTTCGTTCAATCCTTTCGTCGTCGGTCACACGGTGTCTACCGATAGAAAACCATGGAGAATTCGCTCCTATTGGGGCATTCGTCGAGGACCGATATCGCGTCGACCGCACGAAAAATGAGAAAAACACGAGAAGGGCCGGGGAGGCTCTTGCCCACGCTAATAAGAAGGAGCAACCGGAGCTCTCTTTGACGTTGTTGGCTTCTTTGGCAATTAACGGTGGGAACGGATGGGAACGAATGGGAACCGGAGCGTAGCCGAGCGGACGGACTACACAGGGGGGTGAAACACAAAAGGGGGAAGCGTGCTTCCTGACAAGAGTCGAGGGATTACAAGGGACGACGCCGATATACATATACATACCTCGTCGTGGACGTCGTCGGCACGCCGACACGTTGAATTCGCTCTCGACACTTCGCATCGCGTTTGATCGATCGTGGAAAAAGATGCGATAAACATTCTGGGTCGAAAGGTTTAAAACATCTGAATCAATGTTTCCCAACATGATTAGGAAACACTGATTTAAGTGGTTTAAACTCTTTGGCCCACAACCTCCCCGATTGCCCCACCGAAGGGCAATTTGAATATTTTGGGGGACAGTTAGCAAATCGTTGACATTTTTTTTATAGTTTAATTTTTCTACATAATTTCGGGATTCGATACTCCTAACGGGGTGAGTCGCACTGGGCCAAGATTGCGGCGATGACGGTACTCTGTAACGACGACCGAACACGCGACAACATCGATTCCTTGAAACTTACTTAGCAAAGAAAAAGGGGAAACTGTCTCGGTGGAATGTACCTAAGTGTCTCACGCGAGGTCAGGGGGTGCAAAAGCAACTTGATAGAACACCTTGCTCTTTTCTTTTCCGGTCTCTGATTTGCATGTACCGTGTGCCATAGATGTTCCTTATACAGACGCCTCTCGATTATTGTCCCGAACTGGAATCCGCACCGAGACAATAATCGTATAGGGAGACATGTTTCAGACCCTTGGAAATTCGTTTCTTTGCCCGAAATCTTGGTAACAAAAGTGGAGGGGTAACAAAGTATACGTGGGGATGACGCCTGGACAATAATCGAGAGGAATCTGTACTCAACTCGTGGGATCGCACCAGCACTTTCGTTCGTTCTCGTGTTCCCTTGGATGGTAAATTGCGACAGACGTGTTTTCATCGTCACCGGTATACATAGATATACATAGTTTGGAAGACGTCGTTGTTTATGCGCGACAAACGTAGGTATCTTAAGCGCGATCGAACCAGAGTACCCGGCGTAATCGCGTTAAGAGCATTATCGAGGAGAAACGGACCGGCGAAGTAGCTCGCGAACGGGGTAAACCCCGGAAAAGCAGTTTGGACGCGTTGATCCGAACGTCACGTTCGTCTTAGGCGAGCAAGTAATCCTCGATAATTTACACGATAAGATTTCCACGGACCTGACGATGATTGTTGGTGACGGGTTTGACACGATAACGGACAGAATGTCTTCGAAGAAAAACTGTTTCTTGTATTGTATGAATTAAGGATACTACTGATGTTACATTAAAAAATCAACGCCTGTCCTATGCAATTGTTATTTTCTTAAGTTGACCACGCTCGATATATTTTCTAAATGTCCTCCTCGAACATATTATTCATTTTGTTGAATATACTATCTATTTGGGGATGTCCACACCAGGAATGGATAAAATAAAGATATAACATAATGTCCTCGTGAAAAACTTAATGATAAAACGTATTTTATATTTTGTGATACGTAGACAGCTACTTTTATGAAAGCTTGCGTCAGATTAATGTCAGAAAAATGTCTTTGTCTGAATTCATTTGTCCGTTACTGTATTTGGTTTGTCATTTTTCAACCGTTGTCGCATGAAACGGCTCTGACTCGGACGGCTTCTTGGTCTCCAGGTCGTCGTGTAACTTCGTGCACGGTTGCGTCGCGATTTTGCCTCTGTACTCGATCGAATGTAGGTTAACCCAGCATTCCGTCTTTCGTTCGTAAGAACGCGAAGGCCTAGGAGGCCGTTTCTCGTGACCGCTCGTCGTGATCGTTGCGTGCAATCGCCTCGAGTTTCGATTTTTCCGTACGTCCCGCCGTTTCGGGAGTGTAACACACCCTGTGACCATCGATCGATACAATAATTGGCAATTATAGTATCGCGTTGGCTACCCCGGTAGCCATGGATTTCAAGCAATTAACATCCTATTAATTGAAAATCCATCATCGCTGGCAGTACATCTCGCGATTTTTCGATCGAATATCACGCAGTTGGTGCTCGTTTATTGTCCTGCAGTCGGTGATGCGATCTCGAACGAACCGAGAAATCGCGTCTGGGGCGACCCTCGGCGGTCAGTGCGATTCGAAATAGTAATTACTAGACTGCGGGACATTATGCAAAATAACATTTTTCGAAGTGATTTGTAAAGATTTAGCTTTCTTCTAGTCTGAAGCATTTCTCCTTATTTGATTATTGTCCCAGCGCGGACCTAAGTTTGGGACGATAATCGAGAGGAGTCTGTATGTATGCGATGAACTTTACACTGTTTTGAAAATATGAACTTAATATCATTTTTAGACTACTACGTACCTATATTAAAAATTAGACGACCCAGAATGAAATAATTCATACTACCGGAAAGAATGGAATATTTGATACAGGAAACATGTAAAATGCCGTTGTTTTTAAAAAGTGGACTCAATACACTCTGGGCTCCAGATATGGAAAGCTCGGAGGAATTTAGTTGTACGCGGGTGTAATATCTACTGTGCGATTGCGCGCCACGCGAATCGTTCGCGGTCACGTACTACAACGAGAACAAAATGATTTCTAACAAATACCGTATCTGCTTTGTGTTTCAGCGGATGCAACGAGATTGAGGCATTCGAGACACCTGGATGCTAGATCACAGTTCTCGATCGAGGAGGAATTAACGGTGAGTGCTTCTTGAATCCCCCTTGATTCGATTTCTCACCCTCGAAACGGCGACCGCTTCCTTCCTCTCGTTTCCTATTCTCTACCACCCCGATCTTCCTCGTCTTGCGTCACTCTCGCTTCCTCTTCCCGCCTTTCCGTCTCGGCTTCTTCTCTTTCAGTTCCGTTTCGTTTCCTTTATTTTTCTTTCCCTTCATTTTACATACCCGCATCCCCGAATGCTGATCTCCCGAACGTTCTAGGAAAGAGCATCGGTTTTTTCTTCTCTCCTCCGACCTGGATAATAGATTCGTACCGTTGAATCCCGCGAATCGCGGAAATCGCATTAAACATTTAAACGATTCGGTTACCGTTTCGCGACGCCACTCCGCGCAGGAATACTCGAATCTTTTCTCCGGAGAATATTTTACGTTCGTTGGAACGTAGTCGCGTGGAACATTTCCGACAGCTGCATAATTGTCGGACAGAAAAATTGGAAGGTATTTACATGCAACGGGAGGTTTTATTTTTCTTGGTATTCGTAGATGCAGCAGGGCGAAAATCACAATCACAAACCGTTGTTTTCGAATTGCTCGAACTATGCGCCTGTCGTGAAGGAGGAAGAACCTGCTGGAACTGTAGTGGTGCAGGTGCACGCTGAGGACAGGGATCATCCGGACGAGGGAGGTACGTACCAGCACGTGATTTCTCCGATCTCAAGTATACAGGGCGATTCATAAATGTATGTCAAATATTTATTCCCGCGGTAACGTTGGGAACGCGCTGCTATTGGTAGCCATTTCAAGTTTTCCTTTCCAATAATATACCAAGTGCTGTTTTAGACAATAGCATAAAAGATTGTAAAAGGAAATTTAAATATGGGTACCTGGTTGTCTACACAAGGGTTAAATATAGCTGTGTTTCTTTGCAACTCTCTGATTCGTTTGTTCCCGCAGGCACAATCACGTACAGCTTCGTAACCGCCCCTGGCGAGAAGTTGAAGTTTGAGATCAACAACAGGACTGGGTTGATCCGTACGACGCAGATGCTCGACAGAGATGAACCGGCTCGGGAGAAAGAAGCCTATCTGACCGTACTCGCGACCGACAACGGAAGGCCTCAGCTCGACGACGTATGCACGTTCAAAGTCACGATCGAAGATGTGAACGACAACTCGCCAGTGTTCGACAAAGTGGTAAGCGATCTCGGCCACCCTTCCCCACGGGGTCAGTCGATTCGTCCAGGTTGTCGTTCCCTCGGCCATCCGTGTACCGACTGTCCAAAATATCGATCGCGGTGTGGACGCCGCTGGCGCACTGGTTATCTACAATCGGGCGCTTATCAGCGCACCGTAACGGCCGGTTCAGATGGTGCAGTTTTTTTTCTACCGACTCGGTAATTTTGCCGAGAATCGCTCAATGTGCTAATATGCTGCAATAAAATAGTCTGAATTCTGTTGTGCCACGAACCTGGGACCAATCGACTTTCCCACACGCACGTGAATCTTTTTTGGTTCATCTAACGACAAACGGGCGCGTCCCATACCTTTACACGTTTTCGCCACTAACCACCATTTTTTGCTTGGATTTTCTCTCTTTCTCCACACTCAGGTCTTCCGTGGATACGTATGGAAGGTTGGTTTTGATATTTGCGGTGTGATTGCAAATTGTGATGTTTATATTCGTGGTACATGCAAATGGGAATGCGAATGAGCATGTGTATTTGTCATTCTGTTTCTTTTCTTCTTCTTTTTTTTTTTTTTGTTCTCAGTGCCCGACTAGTTTCGCGGCAGCAAATCGAACAGCTTTGGAAACGAAAGGCGATATCTTGTAGAACGTATCTGAGCTTGTTTGAACGCGCATTTACGTTTCGTCGAATGCACGCGTAGACATGTTAGAACAGATAATACAGTAAATCCTCGATAAGTGTTCGACGGCTTCTCGGCACTGAACATAAAATTATCTCATAATCTATCTCAGAATTACAAGCTCTATCACTGTGATAAACCACATTAAAAAATCAGTGTTACACCTGGGGACCGCTCCTTGTCAATGCCGAGGAGCCTTCGAACACTCATCGAGAATTTACTGTAGTTTTTGTACGAAAGAGAGGGAGAGAGAGAAAGAGAGATAGATACAAACGTTTCATCGATCGTGCTCACTCGAAATCGTAGTTTTCTCCGGTATTGTTGGTCGTTTAAACAATACCGAGTCTGATGTGTTTTTTTTTGTCGTTCGTTGTTGACGCGTAGGCGTATACCGAGTCGGTGCCGCAAGACTTACCGTTGGGTCGCGAGGTGATGAGAGTCTCTGCCACGGACATCGATGACGGCAACAATTCCGTCGTCTATTACAGTCTCTCGCCGAAGAGGTCAGAGGATGGAGTCTATTTTCGGATCGATCGTAACACCGGTGTGATATTTCTGAACAAGACTATCGACGTGAGTATCAAAATTCGATGGGTGCAAAAGGAAGATCCGATTTGATTGGTGGATCCACGAATTCCTTATTTGCAATCGATCGACTCGAACGATATTCTTGTTTACAGAGAACTCCGGAGTACAAGTTCAGTATGATCGCGACGGCGGAGGATCAAGGGGAGAACCCAAAATCGAACGTGATCGATCTGGATATACGCGTGGTCGAGTCGCACAAAAAGGCCCCGGCGTTTCTGCCGAGGCCCTCGGAACCGATCCGTCTGCCGGAGAACTTCAGCGACTTCGATCAGAGCATCGTGCGACTGAAGGCTGTCTCGAACAGCGGCGACAGTAGCGAGGTTCTCTTCGAGCTGGTCCCCGGTAGAACCGAGCAAACGAACAAGGGGAACACCTTCAGGTAAGGCGGCCGCGATTTCTCTACTTTCCTGGACACGTGGCGAATTCTCGCGATTCTTTTACAATCGACAGACTCGAATCGAACAAGGATCAGGCGGACATCAAGCTGGCTCAGCATCTCGACTACGAGAGCAACACGATATACACGTTGATCGTACGGGTGCAGAACAAGTACCAGTTGGCCGCCGAGACTGTGATTGATATCGAGGTACTGGACGTGAACGACAATATCCCAGTGTTCCGTGAGATGAAGAAGGGCAGCGTGCTCGAGAACGAACCGCCGGGTGTACCGGTGATGCAAGTGCGCGCGATCGACGCCGACGGGACCCCTGCTCACAATCAGGTACGTTAGACTACACCGTTGGACTGGACTACAGACTCGTCACGATTATCGTCCGGGACAATAATCTTATAGGGAGAAATGTTTCAGACCTTCGTAAATTCGTCTTTCGCAACAAAGAATGCGCTTGACGCGATCCCCTCGTGGCGTGGATGACGCCTAGACAATAATCGTGTAGAACAAACCAGACGATAATGGAGAGGAGTCTGTATAGGGGAGACCCGGGTTAAAAGTAACAGGGGTACATTGCAACAGGGCTTCTAAACTTTTTAAATAAAACAGGCAGTGCCATGATAACAAATAATCAGTAAATTAGGATAATTATTTGATCTCTTTAAGAAGATAATGATTATGTTAAGTACCTATTGATTAAGTAATAATATTGTGTTGAGCCAATTAAATACAATAATATAATGTTATGTTCGTTCTTTGTAATTATTAGCTAGTGTTAATTATTTTCTGTCTTTCATGGTGCACAATTCTGCTTGATCTATTTGTAGTACAACTTTATCCCAACGTCATTACTTTTTACCCCAACGTGGGGCAAAGATTCAAAACAAGCAAGGATCAAAACATTAAATCTCTAGCTAAAATATAGATTATTTATTTAAAAGAAAAAACCAAAAACTGTTACTTTCTCCCCTACTAGAGAATGTAGATCGGCGCCGTTTATCCGTTTTCTCCTTATTTCTATCGTTTTCGTTTTCGACTCGCATCGGCTGAAGGTCACTTACGAGCTGGACAACTTTCGGGATCTGTTCGCCATTGACAAGTACACCGGCAACATCACCACGCAGACGACGTTCGACAGAGAAGTCGAGGACACGTACAACGTGAAGATTATCGCAGTAGACAATTCACCGAGCGCTCTGTTCAAAACCGGCGAGCACAACAAGGGCCAACAAGTGTTTCGGATCGAGATCGCGGACAAAAATGACAACGCGCCACATTTCACGCAAGCTGTGTACACAGCCAATTCGATCCTTGAGAACGCAAACATCAACGCCCCGGTCACAGAGGTGAAAGCCCTCGATTCGGACACGGCCAGTCCGGTCACCTACAGCATCATATCCGGCAATACCGACGACAGCTTTTTCATCGAAGACACCACTGGCAAGATTCGCGTGAACAAACCGCTGGATTACGAGAAGATTACGGAATACAATTTAACAGTGAGAGCGTTCGACGGCCTGTACAACGATACCGCTCAGGTCAAGATCTTCATCGAGAACGTCAACGACAATCCGCCGGTTTTCGAGGAGTTTGAAAAAAATCCAACCATCGAGGAGGAAAAGCTGGTCGAAGGTAAGCCATGAACGCTGATTGGTTAATGTCCCGAACGTTCCATTCGCAGTAATTCACGGATTTCTGTATCGTTTCCAGGTTGCATCACCACCGTGGTTGCCTACGATCCGGACATAAAGGACAGAAACGCCGATCAGCACATAGCCTACTTTATAGTCAAGGAGGATCAGCAACCATTGATTGGAATCGACAAGACTGGATGCATGACGCTGAAGAAACCGTTGGACCGTGATTCGCCATTAGGCTATTCGATGTGGACAGTACGTGTATAGTCAAAGATTATCCGGTTTCCTCGCGTGCTGTACATCGATTCTCGATTAATAGAATGATTGGTCGCGTTTTAGGTGATCGTAATGGCGCGGGACGAGGACGGTTCGCCGACCGCGTTGCGTGAACTCGTTATGGTGAACATCACCCTGATCGATATAAACGACAACGCACCATTCCTCGACATGCCGTATCCGGTGGTCTGGGGCGAGAACAAACCGCCCGGACGAATCACGGAGCTGAAAGCACGGGACTACGACTCTGACGAGAACGGGCCGCCGTTTCAATTTCAGATCGACGAGAATACCGCGGACAACGATATTCTCACCAAGTTCGCTATTAGCGACGTCGATTTGTTCGCGCGGGTCGAGTTCGATCGGGAGGAGCGAAAGAGTTACGACATACCGATCGCGATCACAGACAGCGGGAAACCGCCGATGACTGGTACGTCGACCTTGACCGTGATCATCGGCGACGAAAACGACAACCCGATGTCGGAGGGTTCGAGCTCCATATTCGTGTACAACTATAAAGGCGAGGCGCCTGACACGGAGATCGGCCGAGTGTACGTTAACGACGCGGACGACTGGGATCTGCCGGACAAACACTTCGCCTGGACCTCGACGCAGGACAGATTTCTCCTGAATCAGGAAACTGGTATGATCACCCTGTTGTCGGGCACCTCGAACGACACGTTTGTCCTCAAGTTCCTCGTGACCGAGCACAGCCCGCTGATTCGACGGCACCAGGTGAACGCTTACGTGAACGTGACCGTGATGGAGCTGCCGGAGGAGGCGGTTGCCAGGTCCGGTTCCGTGCGTTTCTACGGAATGAACGCCGAGGAGTTCGTCGAGCCCGACGAGTACGGCGTCAGCAAGAAGGAGGTGTTCCAAGAGAGGATAGCGAACATGTTGAATGCGTCGGTCGAGAACGTCGATGTGTTCACGGTGCTTCATTCGCCGCATCACAATAACAGAAGCTTGCTCGACGTACGTTTCTCGGTTCACGGGAGTCCGTATTACGCTCCCGAGAAACTGAACACTATACTGGCTCAGCACTCGAAGGAGATCGAACGGGAGCTAAAAACGGATATTCTGCTGGTGAACATCGACGAGTGTCTGTTCGAGAAGCTACACTGCAACAACTCGTGCCGCAGCTATTTGAACGCTAGCACGGTTCCGTCCCCGGTTTACACAAACACGAGCTCGTTTGTAGGTGTACGGGCGGTTGTTGATCCGCAGTGCACTTGCCACGTGGCAGAACCGATCGTTTGCCTAAACGGCGGGACTCCGCTGGCAGAACGTTGCGAGTGTCCGCCCGGCCTTGAGGGACCCAGATGCGAGCTACTTGGTATCGGCTTCCACGGCGACGGTTGGGCCGTGATGCCGCCACCTGGCCAGGCTTGCGACGACTCCCATTTGGGTGAGTATCGTTTCTCAACCGCTGGCTTCTATACCTGGTCATAAGTACCATTTTACTTCTACTTGTCGTGGATGCCACTCGTTCCCCATTTACATATTCCAATTTCCACCGTAATTACACAGGTCTCGAGATAACGCCCCATGTGGACAACGGTTTGGTGTTCTATTTCGGCCCGATGACCTACAGTCCGAAGATCGATATTCAGGATTTCATGGCGCTAGAGCTGCAACAAGGTTACGCGGTTCTTTACATGGATTACGGCACAGGCACTGTACGACTCGATCAGAAGCAAATTAAACTGACCGATGGCAAAAGTCACAGGATAGACGTTTACTGGACCAAAAACGTGAGTGACCGCGTTTTGATTCTTCCAGCACGTCTTTTTCTTTCTTTTCGTCGTTTTCATCCGAACAGTGCTTCCATGATCGTGTACTTCCGTGTGTTTTTAGGCGATCGAGATGAAGGTGGACAATTGCGGCATATCCGCTTGCATGAGTTTAACAGCACCGCTGGGTTCGAACGAATTTTTGAACGTGAATAGTCCGATGCAAATCGGAGGAACCATGATCAATCTGGCGCAGCTTGCCTCGCAGCTTGGATGGGACTTCAAACCGACCGATAGAGGATTCGTCGGTTGCATACGCAACATGACTTTCAACGGAAATGTAACGTCCTAACCCTTATCTTTCCATCAGGATCGAATCACCAAACAATCTAAAATTACATCATGAATTTTTTTCACACGTGTTTCTCAGACCTACAACTTGGGGATGCCCTCATTGTCGAGGAACGCCGATCCAGGCTGCGATCACGGAATGGCAAAGGCCGTTTCCTTCGGAATCGACACCAACTTTCTGGTTGCGATTTTGGTTTGCGTCGCAATTTTGCTGATACTGTTACTGGCGGTAGTGGTTCACAGGCGAAAGACGGACGATCTTTATAAGGACATGGACGACATCCGGGAAAATATAATCAATTACGAGGACGAAGGAGGCGGCGAAGTCGACACGGGCTACGACTTGAACGTTCTAAGAACGATTTACGACGCTCCTCCCATCGATTCGAAGATAGCGCCTGTTGGCTTGCAAGGCAGAGGTAAATCTTAATCCTTAAGATTCAGTCATGCTTGTCCGCAACGCAACGTTTTTACACTCTGTTGTTTCCCGTTCTCTTCGAAGCGCCTGACGAAGTTCCGGATATTTGCGGTTTCTTGGACGGTAAGAAGGAAAGCTGCGACAAGGATCCCGACACGAATCCGTTCGATGACGTCAGGCATTACGCGTACGAGGGCGAAGGCAATTCCGAGGGTTCCTTGTCGTCTTTGGCTTCGTGTATGTATCTCGACCGATACCTTGATGTTGTTATTATTATTATTATTAATATTATTATTATCATTATTAGTATAAACGGACATTTCCGTTTAGTACAATAGTTTACAATTTAGTACGGGGTAAGCGAAAACTACGTGTAGTGACAGTAATGATTCAGTGCTGAAGATAATTAGGTCTATTCTTATATCTAGTCAGTGGCTGAAGATACTAGACTAACGTATCGGCAGAGGCCAGACGCGTGTACATAATACTAGAGGCACTATAATAAATAGTTATAACGGATGACGGAAGGTGTAGTGCCAGTCGTATAGGTATCATAGGGAAAATTCTCACGGCCGTGATGTTCACTGTTTGGCCATCTAATCCGGTCTCGTCTAATCGCACGACACTTTCTGACGCAGGTACCGACGACGGCGACCTCAAATTCAACTACCTCTCGAATTTCGGGCCGAGGTTTCGGAAGCTGGCAGATATGTACGGAGAGGAGGCCAGCGACGAGGAGAGTGACGGCGTCGGCGAACGAGAGAGCGAGAGCTGGTGTTGAGGCTCGAACAGTTCCGATTTTAACGAAAACATTCGTTCGCGAGATTTCTGCATTTTGTACTTAAAACAAGGCGTCGTAGACCGTTTCTCGCGTTCTATCGTCGCTACGTAGCTCGATCACAAGGAACCCCCGCCCCCCGACGACAGGGACATCGGTCCCCGTGGGTTTTATCTTGGACGAATTCCAACGGGGCGACCATGAGACGACGTCTCGTCGATAACGACGAGTCGTTACCTGTTTTTTTTTTTCTGTTTATTTACACAAAAGGACGGTTCTCGTCGTTTTACGAGCGAGAAATCAAATTCGCGCGATTCCACGAATCGTCGCCGCGGTTTGCGAACGACCACGCGACAACCCCAGACAAAGTCTAAATACATTGTTGACAGTTCGAGGCTGCTAGTTCGTTATTTCTAGTTCGAGATCGCGCAATACCGAACCGAAAAATGGTTACATATCTTTGGCTTGACGGTACATCGACGGAGAGGACTGGTTCGTCGCGATATCGGTTCACTCGTCGACATCCATTCGTGACTTATACCGAAGAAACATCATCGCAGAACAATAGTTTGAAAAGTTTGGCAATCAATTCGAGTTACACAAAGTTTTCGAAATATTTTTTTATACGTTACATTATATAAATGTATAGGTAGATAATACGCGCACCTCATACCGGTATACCCGAATATGCAATAAATAATCGAGAACGGTCAAGAGACAAGACGAACAGATATTGACGTCTGTTCGCAAGACGAAAATAGGGAAGAAGGTTCGAGCGAGTAAATTACGAAAATATAAGCAGCGACCGAGCGAATCGAGACCGGGGTGGGGAGAGAGAAAAAGAGCGAGAGCAGTATCGCTCCCATTATTTAACTTTATAGACTATTTTATTAACGGGATACGCGCGAGTGCGGAATCGTGTATGGAACGCGCAAAAGTTCGCGTATATTCGTAATTACAAATAAGTAGATATATTATGAATACGGACTAAAAGAAAAGAACACGGAAGCAGGTATTTACGCGTAGATCCAAGCGTTTCGTTCCAAGACGGAAACGCGACGGTAATTGTATGTTTTTCGAGGTTTAGACGGCGAACGGGCCGGGTCGAAAGACTTTGAGAATATCAGTGGAGAAGGGAGACGTTCATTCGTTGTTTATCTCGTGGATTCGATACCGAATGGTTTTACTCCGTTATCGAAAGCGATGAGGTACGTCATTTTGGTACATTTCGCGAGCAGTTTCAAGACGACAGTCTTAAGGTGCGTATCCATTTGTTCCGTATCAATGTCAACGGGCAAGCGTTGCGTATGAAAATGTGATACGAAGATACGCCAACGGACCGATCGGTCATTTGTCGGTTCCTTGACGTCACATGAAAGGATGTCACGATATTCGTTTGAAGAATTTTGGGTGTCTTCTACGCGCCACAATTGCCATGTGCCATATGCAACTCACATACGCACACAAGCATTCATCCTTGAATGTTTTTTTTTTTTTTTTTTTTTTTTTTTTTTACGTCGTGAAGATTGCGGAATACGGAATATTCTCGAAGAATATGAATAAAAAACAAACAAATATTTAAGTAAAACTGCGCTTCTTGTTATTGGCTATATTGCAACGGTGATATGGTGATACGCAACGGTGATACGATACGAGGTTACGTAACAAATGGAGATACGCACCTTTAAGATACCATCTCGTCTGGGAAATACTCGTTTTTTCTTCTTCTTTCGTTTCCCAATTCTTCCAATCAACGAACGGTCGTTTCGTCGCTGGTCGCGCATCACCTCGAAAAACAAACCTCTACGCCTATATATGTATATATGTGTCCACATATATATGTATGTATATTCGTGTACCTATGTACCGCGTATTACGCATGTACGTACACGTATATATGTGATAATAATTTGTAAGCTTTTTGTACGATAAATCAGTGACGGGGTGTATACATGTATAAATGTGTAACGAACGCGTGCGAACGAGAGAATGAAAGAGGGTGAGAGAAAGAAAGAGAAAAAAAAAACACGTGAGACAGAGGGAGAGAAAGAAAGAAAGGGAAGCTAACGTGTAATTTATACGATAACAAAAAAAAAAAAAAAAATATATAGAATGCAGCTTAGGCGAAAGCGTGTGATCTCAGAGGATATGCTAACGCTCGAATCGCGTGTACCGATGGTGTACACGAACGAATGGCTGCCGAGCTACTTAGGACTAAAAGAAAACCGATGGAAACATTGTCGAGGCGGCGATCGTCGTCACTATTGTCGCACTCCTCGTATTTTGCAGTACAAAATACGTTTCCGATGACGAACGTCACGGGACCCTACGTGGGTCTCGAACGCGTCGTGCCAATGGATTCGAAACTCCCGGTGAAATCGAAACGACGGATCGCGTTCGTATTCCTTGAGGTTTCCTCAAAAACTCTTCTACGAATTGTTTCATTCGCTGTTCGTATCGAAAGACGTTTCGACGGACATTTCGAAGGACGGGAGCCCATTTCCGCGATCGTTCAATAGTTTTCGATTTCATCGTAACCGGTCGTCGGAGCGTACGAGACACTAGGGCCACGATTCAGCCATAACGGCGCGGTAACAGTAACAAAACACTGCCCTTCGTATATAAAATATATACCCTCTCGAGCAGACTCGGTTTCCGCTATGAAAAACAATGGCGTAAGAGTAAAGGTCTACTACTCACTTGGTAAATTTCATTCAAGTACTGAAATAAATGTTGAAATGAACGTTAATTCGGCATAAATTTCAGAAACTTTCAAAACTGAGTGCTAGAATGCCCTTTCCCTAGGCCAAAAGCGGTCGATTTGCACGTACCCGCACGTGTTAATCTTTCGGCGATGCTTCCCATTCGAGATCGTGCCCGTTTCGATTTCGACAAAAAAAGGGTCGGAGAAACGAATATGCTGCGTCGCGGTTGCAAATGTGTGCAAAAGGGGAAAACACACAGCAAACGGTCGCGAGACAAATACTAACCAGAGTTACGCGTATGCACACAGGGCTTCTTGTACATTATCCAGGGTCCGCGAAACAAATAGTTTCCGACTCGTTGAACGTGTGATAGTCGATGGCGAGGCGTTCGTGTGCACACCTTTATCCTTAACCCCGCGAACCATCTCTATCATCGTCGCAGATACGTGTAATTTGTTCTTTTTGTAGCAATAAAGTGAACTTCCAAATACGAATTTACCGGGCGTGCCCAGTCGGTGCCGAGTTGCGCGAACAACAAGATTCAAACCACGAATGAGACGCGTAGCTTGGAAATTGTCTGGTGATCGTCGCGAAAAATTTCGACAGAAACTCGAAGATTTTAATTAACCGAATTCCGATCGGGCTTCGGCTCCCTGCGAGCGAGCAACAGGGGAGGAAACCTTGTCTCGAACGTGTGCGTATCTAAAATGTTGAGAAACTCCCTCGAGGAAGCCGTAGATGGTACGATGTCACGAAATCGTTTTTCGAGTATTCAAATCTTCGTATAATAGCAATCGTCGCAAAAATTGCTCCTAGTGTGAGATAATTTGTGACGTTACGCGATGTCAACCGAATCTGTGTACAATGACATTCGAAATAGTGGATATCATCAAGGCGGCATTTTTCGAGTGTACTTGAAAAAAATTTCATGGGAACGTTCGACGCAGGCGCGTTACGGCCCGTTCTGCCCTCGAATGGTTTCAAGAAGGGGCTGTGAAACTATAAAAGCATCCCTGTCGCGTCTGTACCCTCACAAACGCGATCACGTACTCGTAGAACGCGTACCACTGGAACCGCTATTCCGTATTTTACCGCAACACCCGTATCAACGTATTCTTCCGAGTTCCGTTTTTCAAACGACTCGCAGGCGACACGTGACTTTGCTAACCGCCATGTAAGTAACGTTTTAACACTAGATTTACGAACATTTCTTATATACCTACGGGCATGCGTCAAATTGACGCGTTAACGAAGTTACATATTTTCTTTAAAAAACAATTTATTTAAATAAGGGAGAGCAAATTTGTGTGCGTGAAAGTACCTGTGGAGGGGAACTGCCTCGCGTGGCAATGTGCTTAGTGGCAATATCGTGAGAGTCCGCCGCATTGTTTCTGGTTACTTTTAACGTTCACTTTCTATGAACATTTTGATTACGTCTATAGGGGGTGATTCTACATGAGGAAATAAATCGAACTTATGGGATAAATTGTTTTCATTCGTGGCTTTGTTTTCGAGAAAATTGACTTTGAAAATTAATCTGAAACGGAATCAAGTGGACAGATACGCTAGCCAAGTCCAATTCAATTGTACGCGTATTCAACAGATTTTTAATTTCTAACAGAAATGTAAATGGTTTCTATAATTTTCTTCGTGAAATTCGAAATGCGTCAAAATGACGCGTCCCATAAATCTAGCGTTAACTGCATAACCGTTGGGTTAGAACCGGAAGTAAGTACGGAAGTGACGATTGTCGATTTCGTAGGTATCGAAAAATTCGTCTCGGTTTTCTGACGGTAATCTTGCTGTTGTACTTGATGTTGGACTCTGGAACGGAAGCTCAGCTGAATTTCTCCACCGGATGGGGAAAACGAAGTCAGAGGAGAGGCTCGCTAGATCCGGGTAGCATCGATTGCGCTTCGCGAGTCGCGCCCACGATGGAGCAGCTGCTCAACATTTACCATTCGATACAGGTGCCTATCACGCGTTCGTTTAGGCACCGACGAGGTACAATAAGAATAGACTTTTCATCTTATGGGACTTGGTGGGCCTCTTAAACTGTACTATCGATACCTTAAAAAGGTGTTATAACTCTATGTTACGAAAACGGTGAGTCTGCGGTGGGTAATGACACTAAAATGGAAATGGGGGACGAAAAAATACATTGGATGAAACGTCTACTCCTATACCTCGTCTACGGTTTGGGTATTCTCGCGAAAACAATCCTAACGAGTCTTTTCTCTCGCTTGCAGACGGAAGTGCAAAAAATGTTGGACTGTCGGAAACTGAACGAGTGATACAACCCGAGAGAATCGCGATCGAGAGTCGGCGCAAGCGTCGCGGACCCTGGACCATCCGTAATTATCTGGAACAAAAGAATTTTCTGATGTCTTTGCGCAACTTGTTCGACCGGAGGTCTTCGGGAAGAATATCTTTTTTTTTTTTTGCTTTTCGATCGTCGCATCTTCTATTCGACGCGCGACACGCGATCAAAGGTTGCGCAGAAACAATTTTCAACGATCGTAGATTGTCAAATTAGCGATACGAACGATAATACAAACAATGAGTAGTAAAACAGAAGGAATAAAGTTTCTTTCGTCCCTCCGTTAATTCGCTGTTGTTATCGAATTCGCGACTGTAAAGTTCTGATTGAACACGCTCGCACCGAAAAGCTTCTCACACCACAGATATTCGTGCATATACGTATGTTTCAATGACTTTATATATTGGCGAAGATCGTCCGACGATTTCCATTTCAACGCGACCCATCGTCACACCGCTGTTCCGTTGGCGAACGGAAGCTACAAAAACGGGATTGGCTTTCACGGTTCTCCACTTGGCCAGGGTTGGTTTGCCCTTCGTTTCAGTACCGTCGCCGCACAATTGAATCGTCGATCGGGGGTACACACGTAGCAAATTTTGTTTCACCTTGTTTTCCATCGAGAGTGAACAACCGATCGAACGGTTCTCGAGAAGACGCGACACACACGCTTCGAGCATGTGGAAATCGGTCTACGCTTTCAGCGTCTTGGCAGTTCTCGTGAACGCCGGCTATCATCTTCGACCGGAACGAAAACAAATTTTCAATCCAGGTAAGACGTGTGCTCGTTCAGCCACTGCGCGTGTAAAGAAATTTACGTTTCCGCAAGCTTTCATCGAGAATACAAGGGCCAGAAGTATTTTAAATATGAAATTAGTACGCTATAAGAATTTGTTTGATTACATTAAAATGACACAAAAATTAAATTACATTAAATTACACCCAAATTGACGGGTCAAGCACAGTTTTCTTACAACTCAAGGGTATCGAATGACAGGATTAGGCTATCGAAACGCATAAACTTTAGGGAGGTCAGGTTTATGGCTAACGCTATATCTTTGAAGCAGCTATAATAATGTTCCAGTCGCCCGAGTTCTCTTCAACGATACACTGAACGCGTCTCCTCTGCCGATATGGAAACAGTTAAAAGACGACGGGTTCGTTTGTGAACAAACGGGTTATTACCCGAAACGAACTACCTGCGACCAGTTTTACGGGTGTTCCAACTTTCAAAAGGTACATTTCCTCCGTGTTATTTACGAATGCAACGCCGGTCTCGTTTATTCGATCGAGAAGAAACGTTGCACGGTGCCCCATGAAAGCGACCGACCGGAATGCAACGGGCAGCAGGGCAATGGAACGGATGAGAAAATAAAACATACCTCGCCGACGGACGAAGGTAATAACACCGACGAGATATAAGAATAGACCTTTCATCTTATGGGAGTTGGTGGCCCACCTAAACTGCAGCACCCTCACCTTAAAAAGCCTGTGATTTTAGCGACGAATTTTTAAACGAATCTGCGGTAGCTAGTGACACTAAAATAGAAATGGATGACGTCACAAAAAATACATTGGATGAAATGTCTACTCCTATTCACGGCGGACGATTCGCGAAACTCTGAATATCCAGTTGTCGTTTCCAGGTGTATTAGGTGACCGACCGAACTCGGACAAAAAGGTACACGCTACGTCAACACCCGAACCAATTGGCGAAAAACACAGGAAACAAGATATCATGGATAAGATCTTCGAGTTGACCAATACGACTACTGCTGCTGTTCTAGACACGATCACGTCCACGCCACCATCCAAAATCAAGTTTGAAAATCACACACCCGCCTCCGAAATCGTTGGCTCCTCGGAACTGAACAATCCGGACGAGCATCGACCGTTCCGTTGCTATCAGGAGGGCTTTTTTCCCGTTCCTGGCAACTGTTCGAAATTTTACAAATGCGTACCGTTTAAGAATGAATTTCTCAAATACGAATTTTCCTGTCCTCGTGGAACTATCTGGAACGATCGATTCAACGTATGCAGCACTGAAACTGTAGCTGAACAAACAGTTTGCGGTGACAAACCTCGTGCTACGACAAGTACGACGAAATATCAGTTCCCCGAATCCGAACCTCAGTTACTGTCTGAATGTGAATCGGAATCAGAATCTATCTTTGAACTCAAATTCAAATCTGAATGCAAACCGGAAGAAGTAGAATTGAAATTCGAATTGAAATTAGTAGTGGAATTGGAAACCGATTCGAAGTCGAAGTCAGAATCCATGTCTGTATCTGAATTGGAAACGGAATTGGAATCTATATTTGAACCGGAATGCGAATCTGAATCCGACTCAGAAGTAGAATTGGAATTCGAATGGAACTCAGTAACAGAATTGGAATCCGATTCGGAGTTGAAGTCAGAATCCATGTCTGTATCTGAATTGGAAACGGAATTGGAATCTATCTTTGAACCGGAATGCGAATCTGAATCCGACTCAGAAGTAGAATTGGAATTCGAATGGAACTCAGTAACAGAATTGGAATCCGATTCGGAGTTGAAGTCAGAATTCACGCCTGTATTTGAATTGGAACCGGAATTGGAATGGAAATTGGAATCGGAATTGAAGTCTGATGCCATGTTCGTATTTGGATTAGAACCAGAATCGGAATCAAATTCTGATTTTGGGTTTGTATTTGAAACTGACATTGATTCTGATTCGGAATTCGATTTCATGTATTGATTGCCGCTACATTTCCAGTAGAAATAGAGTAACATCCTAGGCGTTGTAACCGCATTTATCAATGCACGAACAGCGACGATCTCGAGATCAATTTTGTAGTTCTTCTCTATCCGCAGAATATTGCCTTAGAACCCTGATTTGAAATGTCGCTTGCAAGTGTCGATATATCGAAAGTCATTCGGAACCGTCGATAAAACAAAGCAAGCATGCCTGCTTCTGCGAGGAATCGATATGTTAGTCTTTTTGGAACATCGATATATCGAGTAGATTTTTTAAATATTCTCGTATAAAATTTTAGTATAGCAAAGGAGGAATATCGTGGAGCTCCTGTTGTCAATTTTGAATCATTCCAAACAATGTATCGAAGCATTTACTCCCATGTGGGAAATCGAACTAGTATAATCGAGGTTAGACCATCGACTTCAAGGGATATCGATATTAGTGACCATGGACTACGACACCAAACGATTCGGAGTACACATGCTTTCATTTTGTCCCGATGTAGTAACAAAGTCAATTATTAATCAGTTAATTTACAATTCATTGAATAAAGATGCAGACGCTTCATTGAAACGATTTTCAAGATAAGTAACGTTTTTTGAATAATTTGTACTCGTAACAACAGAAAGTAACCTATAAAACAGTGGGGCCGAGATCTTCGTCGGCAAAATAAGACAGTCAGAGTCGAAACATCGTTATTTATGTTCGACTGGTGACAGAGCTACTAAAACGGTGGAGCCAAGTGAAGGAGAAGCTGACGATGTATACGGTGCAATTCTCTGGTTTCTTACTGAAGCGGTTTAATACAAATTACGTTCAAAACGGTACTAGGTTAGCATCTCCTTTTCGACATTACGGGAACTATGGAAAATTCCATGAACATCGTAAGAAGATAAGTATCTGGCTGAAAGAACACAGTGGCCGAGTCGCCGAAGCTTGCGTAAAACAGTTTGAATTTATTGCTGCGCAACGTATACGAAGAAGCTTGCAAATATTTCATTTGTACACACGAATATGGGACAAAGTGGCGCTCAGAAATTTCATGACATCCTGGAGGAATCGCGCTTTAAGAAACAGCAGACACTACCTAATGAGCACTATTGGTGTAACGGTGTATAACTGGGACCGCGAAAGAATAAGTGAACAGGAATTGAATAGGTAACGAAAGTACTTCACCCGTTAACCGGGTCAGCTCGGTTCACCTCGAACGTATTCCATAATAAATATTTTTGTTAGTTATAAGCAGGAAATCGAGGGAATTTACAAGTTGAAAGACACTACTGTCGTATGTTCGCACTGTGGACTCAGGATCGTAATAGACGTTCAACAACCAGGTGTAAAATATTGTATGTGTCGCGATAACAAGTGTAATGCGTCTTCCAATCAAGATTGTACGTAAAGGACAGCTGTGTTCTATGTTTTAAACTCGGACGGTGTTTGTCTGTTCATTTTTCTTATTCTTTTTTTTTTTTCTTCATTTCTTGTAATGTCAGTGGACGGATGGAGACCGTACATCGAGCGAGAGGATATGCTTGTATGGAGAAGAGAGGAACCAAATTCTGGGGGACTGTTCGCGTACAAGGTATACGGCTCGTTCGCAGACGTGACTGCCGAAGACTTTCTACAAGCGCAAATAGATGTCGACTACAGAAAGAAGTGGGATCCCACAGCCCGCGAATTGCGAATCATAGACACAGATCCAATATGTAAAACAACAGCCAACGATCATACCGACGTTGTGTATTGGGAAACAATATGGCCTGTAGGAGACAATTGCCATTTATTATCACCGTAATATCGGTAGCGCGACTAATATTGGAAGTTGTCAAATTTTCCCCTTTTACTTTTAGAGATTATTCGCTAACAGAGATTACGTGTATCAACGGAAATGGGTCGTGGATACAGAGAGACGATTAATAATCATCATTAGTAAGGGAACGGAACATCCAAGTGCGCCAACGAAACCGGGAGTATACAGGTATCGCGAACATTTGACACCATTGTTTTCAACTTTGAATAATATTGACAGCGTGTACGTAAATGCGGTATTGTTAAGTTGGTCGATCGATCTTTTCTAGTTTCGTATTTCATTATGGAATCACCTAGTCCAATAAGTATTTGGACTGCCAGAATTAAATATGAAAGTAGGAGAGTCTAAGATTCTCCTTTGTCAATGAATAATCTGAAGTGTGTACATAACAGAGTCGCAACCTATTGGTCGTACATGGTGATAAGGCCTTATACAGAATTCCACCAACCCGGCATTGAATTTGGGTTGACCTACTTTGACAATCCTGGTGTAAATATTCCATCCGCGATCACCGCGTGGGTTGCGATGACAGGTCTGTATAATTGTCACATGGAACAATCGGTTTTCTAATGATACAAGAAGGATTGCTTCCACTTGGTCGCGAAATATATAATATCTTTGTAAACTCTAGGGTTGCCAGACTTTTTAATTCGAATGAGGGAAGCGTCCAAGAATTATCAGAGTTACAAGCAAGCTTTGGATGTATTCGACGTTAATTACATTTCTCTGAACGAAATAGATACATTCTCCGAAGATAACAACGAAGAAAATTGCAGTCCGAATTTGGAAAGAAACGAAACACAGCACGGAAAAGTTGCAAGGAAACATAATGTCGTGGAACAAACCGAAACATATACATTTACGGAGGACGAACAAGAAGAAGAAAGCTGTATAAACGAAGAAAACAATGATAGTACAAGTTCTATCAAGGAAGACAGAGGTTTCTTAGATTATTTTTATCTCACGAAACTGTTCGCGTAACGGATACGGTTCGTGCCGTTTACAGTAAGGAAAATTGATGTTTGCCGATAGAATGATCTTAAAACAACCCCGTATGTGCAAAATAGTCGGAATCAAACGACACCCACGATCGTGATGGAAAAATACTGGGCACAATATACGAATATCCATACGTTTAATCGTACCATGTCCATATTAATGCACAACAATTGAATGTAGTAAAGACACCGGAGATCGTAAAGAAAAAAAAATACCAGATCGCAATTTACATTTCAACAAAACCCACTTTCATATAACAAACGCGAGACTGATTCTCCTCGTATTCTCTTTTACCTTCATCGTTTAAACAAAAACACATCACGATTAATTGAAGTATACAAATGACTTTTATTGGAAAAAAATTACAAAATGAACTGAATTCATATTATAGGTAGTTTTGCTATACACATACAAAATAAAACACTAGAATTGTACAAGTAAAACTATTCTATTACATCGGTGTACATGCAATGATTGTAGTATAAATATAGATAGATGTGTAAAATAAGAAACTGAATTAATTAGACATGTGTGTGTGCGCGTGTAAACAACTTATTCTTCTGAATCATATACATATTGTATACGTAGGGTTGCATTTCTGTATGCGTGCATATGTATACCTACATGTAGGTACGCAGGTGTAGTATCCTTCTTTAGGAGTAGATTTAACAGCGCACAAGTAAGTTACATGTACTCTGAGTTATACGGCAGAAATTTGAATCAATCAGTACGAAACTTGATATTGCACATACCCACATACACTCCAAAGCGTAAAAAAATAACTAGCTGTAAGACATATTTTCAATGAATGTGGGAAAACACCGTGTATCGTGTACCTGAAATCACGCATTTGATCGAACTTTGTTTCCGTCCGTGTGTGTTTCTAATCTATTAAAACTTGTCTTTGGTTCATATTTCTACCTTAATAAAAGATTTTGTCAGAAACAGTGCTAGTTGTCCTGCACTATATATCTTCAGTTAGAATAACGCAATTTAAAAGCATATCCCCTTCGTCGTCAATTTCGAAGCTAATTTCTTCCGGTAATTTCTTCGGGTCGGATTGGAAACCGTAACAATCTTCGTCGTGACATTTCTGATACAGTGTTTTGTTTTGCAAGTCTACGACCAAGAAGACGTTGTTACTTTTGTGGCACCTACCGATATTTTCGCAGAATCTACAATTGATACAATGAACGTTACCGCTGTATTAAACATTTTGTTGATTGTACTTAAACGAATATTAATACCTGTATCCATATGTCTCGTAGACTAACACCTCCGCGGAATCGGAGTATTTACATAGCCGTATTTTACCAGGATGTATTTTGTCATGGATGTATTTGTCCAGCATCGGGAAACGCGAATAACAGTTGTTCTGTCTCTGACAAATATACCATCTTTTCTGTTCTTTAAAACGATTTGCATCAGCTGTACCATGTTTTGAATATTCTAGTAGTATCAGGTCTGGTGTAGCGACGAAATACGAAATCAATGAGTCCAAAAATATGTTCAACTCCTTGTCTTTGTACAAGTTAGAGGGAATATATTTACAGTCATCAGAGATTACCAAATTGGACTGTTTCCCCCATTTTGTGGATTTATAAATTCTAAAATGTCTATTTCTAGTATAAACTGTTGTGTCAATGAACAATCTTTTACCCTTTGTTGTTTGAACAAACAATTGTTCTAGCTTTGTTCTTTCAAAACTGCTTAATATGTCATGATGTTTTTCATTCGAAGAAACATAATCAGAGATGTCAATGCACACAGACTTTATTAGTCTACCAACATGATTATTATCTTTGAATGCTACATCCTTGATATGGAATATAATATGTCTGCTGAATTTTTCAGGTGTACTCGAATCTAAGTTGACTACGTTATATATGTTACATGGTAAGCCCCAATGCCTGAGTAGATAAGCTTCAAATATACCGATTATCAAACTTGTCATAGCAGGACCATCATGCGCTCGATTTAATTCAACCAAATATTCTAAATCCAGATACAATCGACAAGGAGAGTTTTCTGGAATTACCTATATATATAGTTCAAAATTGATTCGATGTTATTGTGCTTTTTAAATATGCCGGTTCATACGATTAATGTTGAAAACTGCTAGAGGCATACCTCGTATGAGCATCTTTTTTCCGGTGGTCGATGCTCGTAATGCCACCAATACACTTCGGGATGAGCTACCACAAACCGGCGATACCCATTGTCCCTTTGATAAACAAACGTGCAAAGCATTTCGTACTTACTGCTTTCTTTGAAAGCTGTTGCAAGCGCATCCGCTTGTCTGTCGAATTCCTTCCAAAAAATTGTCGGTCCTAAAATGTGCGATGGCATGCTACGATGTTCTTTTACCCAAGACGGTTTGCGATCCAATTTCTCTGTCTGGATCGCTACTTTTGTGATTATTTGGTTATCGTAAAATTTCTTCGGACTGATGACGCTCATTGCAGATGACATTTCTGTTTTCCGATTTGCTTAAGTTTTAAGGAGTTCCTTTAGCGGTCCAACCAGTCCAAACTATTCACATATATACCAATGCACTCCCTTATTTCGCGCCAACCACGGATACGAACAACTTGAGAGTGTGCACAATGCAGAGATGGGCAAACTCATTATATAGATAAAAAGTTTCGAAATTAAATTCGGAAGTTTCTGAAATTTATGTCAAAGTACCATGCATTTTAACATTTATTTTAGTACTTGAAATAAATTTACCGAGTGGTAGAAGGCCCTTGGCTACGTCACTTTTTCTCCTAATGGAAACCGAGTTGTTCATCTCACACACACGGGGTCTCTTACGTATGCTCCAGGGGCTCTATGACCCCACCGTCTCACCACACGGAGTCTCTGGCGTCTCCACCGGGGGTTCTGTGACCCCATGCTTTCGCCACACGGACTCTTTGGCGCCACCCGTGGGGGTTCCATGACCCCACTTTTCACACACACGGGGTCTCCACACAGTTCGGGGGTTCTATGACTCCTCTTACCAAAGTACTACATAGGTCGATACTCACCATTCGATACGAGTACTTTTGTTCGATGCGATTGCAGGTATCGATACCAAAAGTACTCGGTTTCAAAACAAAAGTATCTAGTAATGTGCTCGTATTTACTTGTATCGGTTCATTCCTATATGTATGGTTGAGAACTCATATTATAAGTGTCGACGAATCAAATTCGCTGGTGCCAGCTAGTCGAAGACAGTAGTCACGTGGTAAGCGTAGTTTGACCCCATTTATTATTACTATGTAGAATTAACTAAAAACGTTAGAATTTACGATTATTAATGCGCAATATGGATATAACGGGATTCCGCAGACAATACTATACCGTTGTAAAAATTGTGAGTCGCAATTTGCATTTTTTTCTTTGCATTGTCTCGGATGCTTTGTTTGTCATTGAATATCACTGCGTAAGAGAGAACTCTCACTTCGGCTGATGACTCAGATGTTGGTGTCCCGGCGAACCTTGGCCAGTTCTGATTTCCGATTGGTAGAATACAGTAAACTGGCACTATTTGATACGCATTGCTTTTAGAGAATTTAAGCGATAAACACAGAGATTCGTTGGAGCCGGAACGATAACGTTGCATTAACCAAGAATATTCGGTAGAAGAAACAGACGATAAGACCGCTTATCGAAGGTCCGGGTGGGTCCGGGTTTCAAAGTTTGGAGTGTGTATCAATTTGATTCCAGTCTGTTGGATAGGCTGTTCGTGTTCGAGCATGCAATCGCTGTTTTTGAGCGCAAGTAATTCTCACTGAACATCTGGAAACACGTAACGCGTATTATTTAGAGATATAGTATCGCGTGAAATAGTCATAATTTTGCCGGTTTCGCTGCATGTTTTCTTTTACTTTTGTGAGCCCACCTGCAATAGCAGAAGGCCAAATAATTACAGCTGTGTAGTACTACGTCATTATTCGATCGATTAATTCTGTCGAGTGCCGGCAATTGACGATCACTTCGTCTTGCTCTTGCTTTTGGACGATTCTGCGTCACCGATAAAGAAGTTATTTTACGTCGCTAATTCTACATACCGTTCCTTACTGTTTTAGCTAAACATTTAACGGGAAAACCTCTAGTAGAAATTACTACTCGTCTCCTTTCATCCATGGCACAAGCACTGCAAACTCATGGCGTCGTGCCGGACGTCATCGATAAAGCTCCAGAAAATGTATTGACGGTCACTTATCCGAATAATCTATCTGTGGAAATCGGTAAAGTTTTAACCCCTACTCAAGTCAAAGATCAACCTACAGTCATTTGGACTGCGGGTACGAACGAATATTACACACTTTGCATGACCGGTACGTATTTTTGTTTTCTCTATGGTTTAAGCCATTGCCTATGGGCACGGCAATCCGTAATTACTTTCACGAGCAGAACAGTTAAACAGTGAGACTATTGTCATAGATCCTGACGCGCCCAGCCGAAAAGATCCAAAGTTTCGCGAGTGGCATCACTGGTTGGTAGGGAACATTCCCGGCGCGGACATTTCCAAAGGAGAAGTTCTCTCCGAGTATATCGGTGCCGGTCCGCCAAAGGACACGGGACTTCACCGATACGTGTTTTTGCTGTACAAACAGCCTGGGAAAATTACGTTCGACGAAAACCGATTGACCAATCGAAGTGGGGACAATCGAGGATTATTCTCTATAAAAAAGTTCGCTGCAAAACACAAAATCGGCGATCCGATCGCGGGGAACATGTTCCAAGCGGAATTCGACGACTACGTTCCTCTTTTATACAAACAGTTGGGAGCATAAATTCGTCTCTGCTCGTGTATAGATTTTTGTAAATTTCGATTTTTCTATCAATGCATTATTAAAGTTTACGAAACGAGGAATGTTATTTTCATTTGACTCTAACTAATATTTTCTACTAATTTCGCCTAAAAAAAGAGACCAGTACATGATCGTTAAGACGATATACACACGGCTCTTCTAGACCCTTACTACGGCTTCCTTATAACTTATACAATATCTTTTACTAACCATACATACACATATGTATGTAACATTTTTGTAAGTTCACTGACTTCATCTTGTAGTGTGATATACACACGGATTGTAAGCGTAACTCATAATTTTCGATACCGTTCCAATAGTGGATGCGGTTCCAGAGTATTTCTAATAGGCGAGACGTATACATACGTATATATATATATATATATATATATATATATATATATATATATACACTCCTATTCTGACAAGGCTTGGAGACCAGTGCGATATACGAAAGGAAAGGTTGAGCGTAACATTGATTGGTGGGAGGTTGTACGTTGAATGTCAAACGGGGTGGGGGCAGGTACCGCACCATTTTTCGAGAAAAAGGCAATCCAACCGCAGTTCCGAGGTATTAGGTGTGTCGTAAAAGCCAGGAGAAGATGTATTCTGTGACGCTAGGTTCGTATACGACGTGAAGCAACGCCAGCCATAGTTACGTAGCTCGATTTTAAAGTAAACTCGCGTATTTTGTAGGAATTTTTATATGCGGCCTCCATTTTATCGTGGCTGGGGATGTTCGTTCCGAATTCGAGGCAGCAAAAATTGTACCGGACATAATAAGTGCGGCGCCTGACGAAAAAATTGAGGTACGTTATAGGAAACCGTTATACGTAGTGGCTGTCATGTGTGTTATTGTGTATACTTTAACGATGTATTCATCGGTGATACGAATTAGGTCAAGTATGGAACTAAATCGATAGACTTCGGAAACGAATTAACACCGACCGAAACTCAAGAGATCCCCGAAATCCACTACAAACATGAAGGGGGAGTTCTCTACACACTTGTAATGACAGGTATACGAAGGGTATCGCCATGTTAATTTCACCTTGCCTCGAGGCTTCTCGAGCCTCGCGGTAACTTTCACCGTGGCCGATATAACGATTCGATTCGAGAAAACAGGTTTTTTCGTTGCATCGCCATCTTCGTTACCGGTTGATCGAAAGGCCCGTCGTTGTTGATACGTTCCGTTTGCTCGCAGATCCAGACGTACCGCTGAGAAGAGGGTACAATCGAGAGTTTCGACATTGGCTTGTCGGAAATATACCGGAGGAGAACGTCGCGAAAGGAGAGGTGCTCGCCGAGTATGTGGGCCCGGCACCGCCCAAAGATTCCGGGAAACATAGATACGTTTTTCTTGTTTACAGACAAAATCAAGGGTCTATCACGTTCGACGAGAGACGATTGAGTAACAGGTAAAAAGTTTCACAGTTTATCGAATGCGGTATAATTAACGGGATCTCTCTGTACAAATTCCAGGGACGGTCAACGACGAACGCGATTTTCTATAAAGAAATTTGCAGAGAAATACAATCTAGAGGGTCCGATAGCGGGTAACTTTATGAAGGTGGAGTACGACGAGAATGTGCCCAAATACTCGAAGCTTTTAGGATTTTAATATCGCACTTTCGCTTCCGGAACATCGTCCCGATTTAATCGAATTTTAATACAGGTGGTGGTACGAAAAATCACTCTGACACGGTATCCGGGAGTAATATAAATTTAACTGTGATCCGTGTTACAAGAGATATTTATAATAAAGTTTAAACGGTGAACGGATTACGAGAAAATCGGTCGATTCGTTTATTTTCGTTGGTGTCGTTATAAATATAAAATGTACCCTATGTAGAATACCGCGACTCGTGGATGGCTACAGTTTACGAATCGTTTCTCGGTTCGACGCCTCTCGAATCCAGAATATTGTCCCAGAAACATTCTAGTGGTCTGCCACGCACGTTATTTCGAGACAGAGAGCGAGAGTGATCGCGAGGAACTTGTTCGAGAAGTGTCGTTCGTTCGTAAACGAAACGGAAACGTCGTGTCGAAACACGACGAGACGCGACACGAGGCGGACGTGTTACAAATCGAAAGAATTTTCTCCGGAATTCGAGGCACGCCACTGACTGAAACAACGATTCGATCGCGATTCGATATCAAGGTAAAGCGAGGTCCGGATAAACTGTAATGTTCCAACAGAGTCGATGGTCTCGTACGTCGCCCCATCCGCCGTTGCCTTTCCTGAGCTTCGATTTTTTTGCAGTACCAGCTACTGTGAGCGTCAGTTGAGTAGGAAACAGATGCGGCTGGGCGGTCTTTAGTACATTCTGAACCTTTGCGACCGTGGATGTCGATTCGCAGTTGGTCTTTTTGTGGTGAACACCGCTGAAATGGGGAAATTCGTGCGAGAAAGTGGCAGTGGGAAAGTTAGATAAGATAGGTAGATGATAAAGAAGAGAACTGTTTGCTTCTACTTACCATTCACCGATGTGAAATACTCTGGGTGCTCTCATCATCATCGTGATTAGGCCGGATTCGATTCGCGGCACGACACCGGCGCCTTTGCTAGGCGGTAGACATGATTGCGCTATATGCTGAAGGCTCCAGTCCCAATTGTAATCGTCGTACGAACAAAATTCCGCGGTACACTTTCGAAGTTTGTTCCAAGTTACACGGTTGAACGCCATTCCCATGTTGTGTTTGCTCGATATCCAAGGGATAACCTCGGCCTGTTGGAAGCGATGGGGATGGTTTACATCGAGTGGAAAGATCGTCGGGAATGAGATCACGGGGACAGAACGGAATATCATGGGATGATCGGCGCGCGAACACGTGCCCGGTTCTCGAATGAATATATTTCGAAAAGATCGTTTACTGCACGAGGAATGTATGGTGACGAGTCTCGTGAAACAAGACAAGTACAGGACGGGGGATGGGAGAAAATGAGACGAGACGAAACGAGACGAAACGGAACTAGTAAAGTGGAATCGAAATGAGGGAACACGTGAGAGGACGGTTCCACGGATGTTTCGAAACGAAAGATCGGCTATATAATTCTCGAATTGGAATCGTCGAAAGATATCGGGAACCTTTTGATAATGATTGTAGAGACCGGGTAGGAGCTGGAAAGCCCATGCGGGAACATGTTGCGCCGTGAGCGCGTTCCGACCGGTAGACGACACGGCCCCGGTAGCGCCGCTACCGTTTCCGCTTGCTGTGGAGTTTCCGGTTGTACTCGTGCCGGTGGCGACGCCGTTGCTCGGAAATCCCCCTGTTCCACCGACGACCTCGACTTTTGCCGACGACTGTTGTTGCCCCGTCGCAGTTTGCCGCCTTTTTAATCCACGCAGAAGCTCCTTTTGCAGGGCGCTGTTGACGCCAAGGAACTAATGGACGGGCCCCCGTGCGTGAAACATCGACACACAGATATTCACACTGATTGCGAGATGGAGCTAGTTGTTCGTTACAGGCGGTACGCACCTGGCTTCGAGAAATTAACACGCGGCACGATCGGTGTGCCCTTCCAAAATCGAGAAAGTTTCGCATGTGCCATCCGATGCAAACCGTCGCATCTTCGATATCCCCGTTTATTCAACGTCGAATTACCAATCAGCCGCAGCTCTAGTTTTTCTACTACCACTATTATCACCACTATCGCTACTGACAATAACGCCCCCTGAAATGATATCCCTTAATTCTTTGTTGCTTTCGTCTCTCTCTTTTTCCCTTTTACGAACTTCAGAGAAAAAGACTGACGCTACTGGGAGAGCAGAAATGCGAACGAGATAGATAGAATAGATAGGATTGATAGATAGATTGATAGATACGTAAATAGATGGATTGATAGATGGATAGGTACATTGGGGGACAAAAGTATTGTGCACCTTTTAAACGGGACAACTTTAAAATTCCTCCAAACGAATAGAGGTCTTTTGTGAAGTGAGGGAGACTAGGTTAGTAAATGACGTGTAAAAAGAAATTGAAAAAGTTGCAATAGGCGGAATCACGATAAAAATAGTAAAGGTCGTTCTTTGCAACTTTTTAATTTGAGGTTATAATGAAACTTTTTCAAATCTTTTTGTATACATCGTTTAGTAAACTAATGTTCCTAGACTTCACAAAAGACCTCAAGTCACTCGGACCAATTTGAAAAAAGTGGTTCCGTTTTAAAGGGTGTACGAATACTTTGTTTTGTCCCCCACTGTATATACATATAGACAGATAGGGAGAGAGAGAGAGATACTTTGTGTACGAATACTTTGTTTTGTCCCCCACTGTATATACATATAGACAGATAGGGAGAGAGAGAGAGAGAGAGAAAAAAAAAGGAGAAAGAGAGACAGCAAATAGCCACCACGGTTAGCACGGATGGCGGGAAACTACTCGAAGCAACTAAAGCTCCGGATCGACTGAATCGAAACATGGGGTGGATGAAATTTCCCGGCGAACCAGCATCGAAAAGTATCGGCACGGAGATCGCTCGCGGCGCTCGGATCGTTCTAACAACGCTATCGACGAGAGGGGAAGAACGGACGTGTTTGAATATCGCGAATCGGTCGGAAATTCGGGATTCTCACCTTTCGACTGATGTCGGCGAAATAATTGTACGTCTTCAGATAAGTGCCTAAAGACAGAACGTTGCATCTCTCGCAGCTATGCTTGCAGGTGCGTTCCATCAGTCTGAGAACATGCAAGAAGTCCTCGGCGACGTAATGGTCCTCCTCGAGAAATAGAACCATGCCGGTGTGATTTCTCGTCACGAAAAGCTGATCGAACACACGATTGGCCTTCCACCACCAGTGGTGCTTCGTCTGCGTGAACTTGGATTCTCGGTAGTGCCCATAGAGATCCGGATGTTTGGCGTTCACGCAGCCAAGATTCAAAGCCCTGCGCGAACAATTCCCAAAAGAGCGAACTGTCGTCGACAAATTGGCAGGGTTATAAGCGAATATCGTCACAGCGAACAGCCGACACGCGGTTACTCACTGTTCCTTGCGAATATTCCGGGGACAATCGTTGGGATCCTCGCCGGGAAACGTGCGTGGATGGGTCTGTATGCTGTGTGGGTAAAATATTTGCATCACCCGGCAAAAGTCGACGCTTTGGACGAGATAATTTATGTCCGGGTGCCAGACATCGTGACTAAAGACGAGTAGGGTTTGCTCGATCCCTTTGGCCTGGGCCAAAGACACGATTAGATGTCTGAGATAGGTGAGACGGGTGTGCACTTGGACCACAATCACGGGGGCGTCGGGGGCCAACGGACCGAAGGCTTCCTCGTTGTACACCCTTTGCGCGGCATTCGCCTTTTCGATATTGCGCCGAATTTCCGCTATCTCGAACTCGGTTAACGTCTCCGAGCTCGAGTTGCTCGACGTGGATGACCCATTCCGACGATCCTTGAGAAACCTGCGAGAAACGAACGAAATCGGTTTGCTTGTTACTTCGTCGAATCAGCTCTTCTATTCTATCCTACGTTACTCTACTCCAGGGTTTCCCAAACCTTTTTCTGCAATGGAACACTTCGCAAACCCGGAAATTTTAACGGAACACTTAGCTTATTTTATAGGTTGGGTAATTCCTACTAGTAAAAAATTAAAAAAAAAAAATGTTATTCAAACATTATTTATTTAGTAATTATTTTGAAATATAAAACTATAATATAATATACATATAAAAATATGAATAAATAATTACTTTGATGATAATACCTTTCGAAATTGTCGCGGAACACAGTTTCGGAAACCCTGCTCTACTCTATTCTACCCTATTCCAATCTATTCGACCAATGCTGTACATGTCATGCATTGGACCACTCTACTCTGATCCGTGCGCTACCGAACCGTCATGTCCAAATGTTCATCCATTCGTTTAGATCGATCTCAAATAGGATCCCTTTACCTGTGCAACTCTTGCGGCACAAGGGCGAACAGCGTTTCGTTCGGGGAGGACTGCCCGGTGGAATCTCGACCGGTCAGGCTGATCACATGAAGCTGAAGCCAAAGAAACGACGCCAGGAAAAAGACAATGAGCGTTCTCAGAAAGGTTCCACGGATCGATCTTGTTCCTCCCAGTACCGTTCCTCCTGTAAACGTTCACGATGCAATTTCGCGAACGAGCTACTAGGGACTTTTACCGAAACGTGAATATACCGGTATTTATTTTGATTTTCGGTAATATATTGGTTTCGGTATAGGTTTGATGGCGTAATACCGGTAACAAAATCAGACCGGTTTAAGTGCCTGCGAGCAACGTCGACAACCCGTCGCGTTCCCGTGTCTCGTAATTTATTTGGCAAAGTCCAAAGACCAGTCGTGATCAATCGCGAGAATACGTGATTTCGTGTTCGTGATTTTAGCGAAAGGAAGGAAACCGGTAACGAACGATATCGTTTCTTCACTCACCTCTCATCCTGACATTCCTAAACGGTCGCTCTGAAACAAGTTTGACGGTACGTTAAATCGTTGCCTCTCGTTTCCCAGGAGTTTGTTCGCCGGAAAGCTATCGTTTATGTGAACGCGTAGCCGAGGACACTGTTCTTCGTGAACCTTTTTGGCGGCCATCCTTGGACGTTCGCGGTTCCGCGTGGCTCGCCGGGATGGCGAAATCCTATCTTACCTCGAGTCGGAGAACAGACGCGACGGATACTTTTTCATGTCGACGAGATCTGCAAGGAAACATCGATGGTTAAATGGTTCTTAGGGGGAGACACGAGGAACGGATCGGAACGGAGGTTCCCGCGCTTTTCCGTGTCCGGCGGAACATTTCCGTTTCGTCAGCTACGAGATGGAATCCAACGATCCAATCCGGTTCCTCGAATTTTTTTGTTTTCTTACGTCGCTCGTGTCCCTTGGACCACGTCGACCCGCTGTTAAAACGTATTTTTAGAACGGCACGCGAACTCGCGGTTAGTCGGAACGGAGAAGCGACGGAGATCGTGAAGAGGCAACGGTTAGTCGCGGTGTCGTCGAACCGATGCGACACGGAACCGAAATCTAGTTTATCAGGAAATTCCGTTCGTCGACCAGAATGATTCGGGAATCGAAATCTTGGAACTGAAAATTCAGGAAAATAACGAATCCGGAAAAAAACAACCAGGAGAAAAATAGTTCGATTTCGAAACACGGGATAGCAGTAAACGACACTGAGCAACTCGTCAGTTCACGGCTGACGTGCGAGCGAACGATGCGATGAAAGGAACAACGGTGAAGCTGACGACGTGGAACGCCGAATTAGGGGGGGGGGGGGAGAAGTAGAGGCGAAAAGAAGCAACGTCGTCGAGACCCTCTTGGTCACGGGATCGCGACTAGTGTTCCGTAGACGAGCATCGAGTGGCTCGATATAGGTACCATTTTGCTTCGTTCCTTTGCGATCTAGGTCAGCTGACTTGGCTGGTTGACGCGAAACAATGCGGATATCCGCGAGAACGAGAGCCAACCGCGATATCCTCGTTGCGCGGGGCAAGGAAACATGGGAAGGGAAGAGAGGAGGGAAGCCGGAATGTGCTACTTGAACGGAAGGAGCTTGAACCACGATAAAACTCTTTAACCTTCTCGTTTTTCTCCTTCTCCACGGTTCTCCGAATTTCGGCTATGTCCCGTCGCGTTGCAGTGCACGAGTGTTCTCCCTTCCTTCCTCTTTTTCGGCCGTCCTCCCGTTCCGCGATTCGATGCGTCTTTATCGGAATTTCAAAACAGAACTGGTCATTGCACAGCCTCCCCCCCCACCCTATCGTCGTTTCGCTGGTTATTCGGGTATCCTTCGGTCTATAGTCGTTGTCAAAAGAGCAACCGTGGAATGTCTCAGTGAATATTTCTCGGCGGCTGATCGAAGCGAACGCGTTGCATCGTTCCAGATACGTCCAGACGCGCACGAACCACCGCGTACCGCGCGTCACGTATCGTGTGACGGCTAACCCGCTTGTGGCGCGATTGCAAACGCGACTGGAAGCGTGTTAGTCACGCGTTCATTTTCAAGGTAAATCGGAAAAGTCAATCGTATCGCGGTCTCGCGTTTCCACACAGATTTCTACCGCAGACGGATAACGATACCGAACGAACTGGAGGTGGGCGTATAGAGAAACAGAAACAAAGAAATGAGAAATAGGGAGGGGAGAGGGGGGGTGTAACGATAGGTTAGTTATAGGGTTAGGAAACGAGGATCAGGATTAAATAGAGATTACAGCGTAGAAAAAGGCAGAGGCGAGGAATGAATCGAAGGAAAAGAAATGTCTGTGTATGTATGTTGACACGAGAAAGGAAGAGGGAGGAGAAGAACGCGATGTGGAACAGACGAGAACCATGGAATATCGATCCGTAGGTCTGGTCCGGGACACGAGTCAGAGAACGGGGCATGGACGAGGGCAGAGACATACGTTGAAAGTCGGGATGAAATCACGAGACGTCGATACAGAGCGACGAATGGGTTTACTTACGCGGCTTCACCATCGGGATGTTTCGATGTAATCAGGCGAATCCGCGGTCCCGAAACGTCTTCGTCTCGACTGATCACCTATCGGCGAGCACATCGAAATCGATCACAAGAAACACGGGGCGGGTGTAACATCGTGTCATTGCTGCCGTCTGTAAGATTTTCTGCCGTTTTTATCGCGTTGCTCGTGACACGAACGATTTGCCGACGAAACTGCGGTCGTCCGTTCTTAAAATCGTATCGAACACGACAACGACTCCGCCCACCTTCCGCTGGCTCTTGTGTCCATACGCGCGACGTACCACCACCGTGTACACCCCACGTTGCAAGCTGCACGTTGCCACCCTCTTCGCTGCACGATGCACGTTGCACGGGCACACCCCACGCCGACCCCTTCAGGGGGTGGGATTTCCATCGAGACGATCGATCCCCTTGTCCCGCCATCCCGCGGAACTTTTCGTCGTTGCTCGCCGTTTGCGTTACGTTGCGTCCCCCGTTTCGCCAACACTCCGTCATTGCTCGGTTCGCGACGTCGATAACCGTCGTTTCTCGACTGATAATACCCGTTTACTAGTCCCGCTGCTGTACCTTGTCCAGGCCATGTCGCGAACGAATCTATGTCGTATTTCCTCGAATGCGATCCAGTAGATGGGACGACGTGCGTACAAGACTCGAGTCGTTTTTTCATTTAACCATTTCTACGGGGATCCAACATTTCAGCCAGAAAAATTATTTGCACATTCCTCACAGCCAAGGACTTGCACATCTGAAGTGATGGGCTTAATGTTAACTATGAATATATGCACATACTCTGCGTAAGCGGGTGTGTATGATTGATTAAGTTTGTATAACGGCGAGCAAACTCGGCTTCCACTAGGAGTACATACGGGACTAGCCTACTATGTTCCAAGGCAGTAGGGGGTGGATACGGGTTCACGAGCCGTCGCTTTCCTTCCTCCATTTAACACAAAGTACCGGACTTTTGTTAAGACGACTTGACCAAGTTATTTCGTATTAATAGTGTCAGTCCCAATTCGCCAGTTGCACGAGCAACATTCGACCGAGCTAGAGAGTTGTATAAGCAACAGCGATAAAGGATCACGTTTCAAACGTATACTGACGCAAGCCATTTCACTACCGTTCATTGTCCCGTAATCCACATGCAGTAACAACAGATTGAATCCGGTAGAGGACTACTGCAAAGTATTACACACGTCTATCGTATGCCACCGGTAATCAAAATTTCGGCAACAAACTTATGAAACCTTTATGAAGCTTTGAAGACGGTATTTGTCTTGACAAAGCATTCGACGTGTAGCTTAAAGAACGTCGATTAATTCCCTGTCATTGGCAATAACAATAAACGACCAGAACACTGTTACAATCGCATTTATTTTCAACGGTTGACACTGTATCTCGTCAAGTGTACCCCGTTTAGTTTACTTTCGACAGCTCTTACACCGTTATACGGATAGCTTTCGTTTAGATAAAGCACTCAATTTGTAGCTGAAAGTACCTAGATTAATCCGCTGTTATTGATAATAACAATAAACGACCAGAACACTGTTAAAATCGCATTTTATCGTGGAGTACCACTATTTTTTTGACCGGTGGCGCCACCATCTCGCTAATAAAGAAAATCTACTAACCACCGTCCAGTAACTACCAAATCTACTAACCACCATCTCGCAAATAAAGAAAATCTACTAACCACCGTCCAGTAATTACGAAATCTACTAACCACCGTCCAGTAACTACGAAATCTACTAACCACCATCTCGCAAATAAAGAAAATCTACTAACCACCGTCCAGTAACTACCAAATCTACTAACCACCATCTCGCAAAATAAGGAAAATCTACTAACCACTAACACTAACAGACAGTAACTACTGGACGGTGGTTAGTAGATTTTCTTTATTTGCGAGATGGTGGTTAGTAGATGTGGTAGTTACTGCACGGTGGTTAGTAGATTTTCTTTATTTGCGAGATGGTGGTTAGTAGATTTGGTAGTTCCTGGATGGTGGTTAGTAGATTTTCTTTATTTGCGAGATGGCGGTTAGTAGATTTGGTAGTTACTGGACGGTGGTTAGTAGACTTTCTTTATTTGCGAGATGGTGGTTAGTAGATTTAGTAGTTACTGGACGGTGGTTAGTAGATTTTCTTTATTTGCGTGATGGTGGTTAGTAGATTTCGTAGTTACTGGACGGTGGTTAGTAGATTTTCTTTATTTGCGAGATGGTGGCGCCACCGGTCGAAAAAATAGTGGTATTCCGCGATTAAATGAGATTTTAACAGCGTTCTGGTTGTTTCTTGTTATTATCAATATCAGTGGATTAATCTACGTACTGTCAGCTACAAATTGAGTGCTTTATCTAAACGAAAGCTGTCCGTATAACGGTGTAACAGCTGTCTAAAGTGAACTAAGCGGGGTACGCATGACGAGATAGAGTGTCAACCGTTGCAAACAAAGTGCGATTTTAACAGTGTTCCGGTCGTTTATTGTTATTGCCACTGACAGGAGATTAATCTACGTTCTTTCAGCTACAAGCTGAGTGCTTGGCCAAGACGAATCAGCCGTTATAGGGTACTAATCTACATTCTTTAAACTTCGAATGTAATGCATGACGAAGAAAAGTGTTGCCTGTTTAGTGGTTATATAATTGCAACAGTTTTCGATCGGATTTACACTGCTAAACGAGCATCAGTTTTCCTCGTCATGGATTACATTCGAAGTTTAAAGAACGTAGATTACTATTGTCTAACGGCTGGAAACCAGTAATCGCAAGAACATTGTTAAAATCGCATTTGTTTGCTACGGTTGACAGTGTATCTCGCCATGCGTACCCCGTTTAGTTCACTTTAAATAGCTCTTCCAACGTTTTATGGACACGTTACGTCTTGATCTAGCATTGATTTTGAAGCTAAAAGAACGTAGATTAATCCACTGTCATTGAAAATAATAATAAACGACCAGAACACTGTGAAAATCGCATTTAATTGCGGAATAACACTATATTTTCAACCTGTGGCGCCATCCGTGGCGAATCGCTGAAACTACTAGCCATATAATTGGTTAGCAGTTTCACCGATTTGCCACGGATGGCGCCACCGTTCAAAAAAATAGTGGTACTCCGCGTTTAAATGCGATTTTAACAGTGTTCTGGCCGTTTATTGTTATTATCAATAAGAGTGGATTAATCTACGTACTTTCAGCTACAAATTGAATGCTTCAGCTAAACGAAAGCTATCCGTATAACGGTGTAAGAGCTATGCAAAGTGAACTAACCGGGGTACGCATGACGAGATACAGTGTCAACAGTTGCAAATAAAGTGCGATTTTAACAGTGTTATGGTCGTTTATTGTTATTATCAATAACAGTGGATTAATCTACGTACTTTCAGCTACAAATTGAGTGCTTCAGCTAAACGAAAGGTATCCGTATAACGGTGTAAGAGCTGTTCAAAGTGAACTAACCGGGGTACGCATGACGAGATACAGTCTCAACCGTTGCAAATAAATGTGATTTTAACAATGTTCTTCCGTGAATACATTGCATAATAATGGCACCAACAATGGCAGTTTCTGGAGATACTATTATAGTCCAAGTACTTTTGTAGAAATCTATTGAAACAGACCACTATAGTTAGTACATAATTGTACAATGTTTATGTACTTATATTTAAGCCGATTCGATCGAATGAAGCTTATGATAACTGACGTATGTTTATTGGAATAAACAAATATATAAAGTATAATGATGTAAAAGTTTGAAAGACAATACGACGCGCTACGGTACAATACGTTTATCCAATTCAATTGCTCGCTCGCGATCACTCGCGATAATCGTCCTGCTAATGCCTCCACTATAGCCGTAGGAGAATCCCCCACCATCAGCTCTATTAGAAAGAGAGGAAAGTTACTCCAGTTACTGCCCTCTTTCTCTAGTGCTGACTTTATCCCTACCATAAGACCCTGCAGTCTATTATATATGTCTATGGTTTATGGTCTATCCTGTGTATACTTCGTCTCTGATTAAGGTAAGCGAAGTTGCCGGTATCAGACATAAATAATTCTTATTTTTATACTCACTACTGGAAATTAAATGAAATCGTGAAAGGAACCGACCCGTGAATCTGCAAATAGTACCCAAAAGATGTTACGGTTTCCACATGGTTCTGAATTGAAATAACTGTTGTATGTATCCAGTTGTATCGGACTGACATTTTGCTTCTGGCAAGGCAGTTGCGACAGCAGCGCCCAGCTACATTCGCGCTTGTTCCTAATGTTTGGCAGCGACGGAATTTACCGCTACTACGCTGTGGGACAGAAAGCAAACAGCCGGCTGCGCGAGTGTGTACGCATGTTGCTCTGCGACGACGACGTTGTTACCGTTGATGTCGCGAACGCGTATTCCTGTTGAGTCGGTTACGTAAAAATCCCTATCCAATTTGAAAGCTTCTCTACTGTTCCATCAGTTCAAGCATCGAGAAACTTGTATGGGTGTCGAGCGTCGTTTCGATCACGACTTCGGTGGAATAACTAAGTGGCTCATTATATTGCGTTTTGAGTGGTGTGTGTTCACGACGTGTCTCTTGTTACAGTGCATACTGGTTCGTTGTGGCTCTTGTGCTTCTTGTTGTCGCGTTATCGTTGTCGGAATAGAGCGGAATGTCGTGACTGGCCAGCGGAGTAACCAGAAATAGAGGGTAGGGCGGGAGAGGGAGAGAGCGTCATAGAGAAAGAGAGAGAGTACGCTATCAAATATATCGATATAGGTAAAAGCGGAAGCAATGTACAAATAAACTTACTCGTTGTTCCGTAATTAATCGGTCCGGGCGGGGGCTTGGTCGCGTTCACGCGGGGGCTAAAAGAGAAAGGGCGTGGAAAGATTAATACGAGAATTAACGTAGAGGCAGGGCAAGTCGTGCGTAAACGTACGCTAACACCATGGGTAAGACGCCAAAGAAGGCGGCCCCTGGGGGCGATGAGAGGAATTTGTACAATCGGAGGCGACTCAAGGCAACGACCGCAGCGTCGAAAACTTCTGAAACGAACTTACACGAGAGACAACGCGAATCCGAGAGTCCGAACAGGTTTGTAAAGACTAAATAAAAGGTCAACGAAACAGCTAAATAGCTAATTCACAGTTTATAGTTCCTTCGATCAGTCGTGTTCGTTTCTTTTTCTTTTTGTACGAATTCTTCCGTTTCGGGTTCGCCTGCGAACAGATGCGTTGCCGCCTGAATGGAATTATCGTTCTTCTCGATCACTTATGCGATCTCGTCTTTTTCTCCGAAATGCCAGAGGATAAAGGGGGGCAAGTGTCATTTAATTTCGGTGACAGATAACCGCCGACATTCACGGATCTTGTGGGTAGTTCGAAAACCTTCGTACTCTGCTGGCGTTTCTTTAAAGTCGTGCAATTCGATTATGTGACTGATGCCGGCGACGAAGCTTTTTGTAGAGCAAATCTATGGAACGAGTGAGATACCTTGAAATAGCGTCTAAATCAAAAGTAATCTACAGGGTGAAACTTTGGTTCGATTTTTTCGCCAAGATTTTTTTTTGTAAATTAGTATGTACCTCTCATCACCTCCGGTATAGTCCTCGCGGAGATATAGTGTAATCTTAAAATGAGTCAACCGGGTAAAGTATTTAAACATATTTCGGATATCGGGATGTGCGAGTTGATAGTAATATGGGGAGATAGTGGTTTGAAACCTCGTTCATGGCCGTACGAATAACGGCACATTAATATATGATACAGTGTATTGAAACTACAATTTCAAATATTCTAAATAGTAATAAATACTTGCAGTTTTTTAATTACAAATAAAACAACAGAATGCAGGAGACAGGCCGGAGTGCCGTTGCTCGATGTGTTAATTTACGATCAAGCTATATCTCCGTGAGGATTATACTTCTTACTCGGTGGAAATTAGCTGTATATACGCACGTGATTCGTTTCAACGGTTTTCAGTGTCAATATGTTCATGTTCCAGGTCTAAGTTGACTGATGTACAAAAAAGCAAATCGCCTGGACAAAGGAAAAATTTTAAGGTGAGTTCAGGGTCTCTCCCTATAATTACCACAAACATTTCTGTCTGTGTTCTGTGGCAATATTGAAACAACTACTTGAATTATTATCCTTTAGAGTTACACAAGGTAACGTGTTTATTACAGAGTAAACCTGGTGTGTCAAACAGTAGAAGAAAATTTGATTCCATACGTCCTATGAAGCGGGTTGGCAGGCCACTGGGTAGCACCAAGAAGAAGTTAGCTGCTGCGAATAAAAACACAGAAACAAAGCAAAGAAACATGCAGCCCGAATCGGAGGAGGCAGAAGTTACACTGGAAGAGACTGTACAGAACAAAACTGTCAATGAAAATGCTTGCCAGAATACCCAGGACATTGCGGAGAAGTGTATCGATCATGCTCCTTCTGGACCTGCTGAGATCTCTGGGGAAGAGGAGCATCCGAACAAACAGTTGATCGTGGAGGAGGAACAGCAATCTGAGAAAGATGAGAAAATAAACAAATCCATAGAAACGAAGGAGTCGGAAGAGGAATACGAGGAAAACGATTTAACGTTGAGCCTTGATAACGAGTATAGTCCCAAGAGAAGCCAAGAAGGAAAGTCAAGCCATAAGGATTCGAAGGACAAAGGGATCGCAGAGAGTCCGTCAGCTCGAGTGGAATCGGAGAGCAGCAGCATGAATGAGAAGGAGGATGTTCAGAGTGAGTCGCACACCGAAATGTGTAGCAGCTCGGTGAACGTTCAGGAATCCGTCGCGTCGGAATTATCCGAAGCGGGTGAGACCGTGTCCGAGAACGATGCTCAGAAAGAGAAAGAGGCAAAGAAAGAGAAAGAGGCAAAGAAAGAGAAAGAGGCAAAAAAAGAGAAAGAGACAAAGAAAGAGACAGACAAAGAAATAGAGAACGAGAAAATGGAAGAGAAGACCGAGGAATTGACGGAGGATAAAGATGTGTCGTTTGTCTCGTACGATCCCTCAATAATGTTGAGGGACGTGCAAATCAAGCTGAACGATTGCATGAAGGATAACTCGAAATTATCCGAGACGTGCTGCATGGAATCGGAGACGTTGTTACGGCCGTCGCATGACGGGTCTTTCGGGAAGACTCTGAGAAACATTTCGGGCAGGCGTTCTTTGAATAGAATGCGTCACGTGACGCTGCGCGAGCATAGATATTCGCCGAACAATTCGATGTTCGTCAACACGTCGAGCGTGTCTCTGTTGCCGTCGGACGAGACCGAAGATTTTAAGATATTGCGCTACAGCACTGGCTTATCCGACACTGTTTCCACTAGCAACGGCAGTCCAAGCGATAAAAAACGGAAGCACGAGACCGAGGAGTGGAATTTTTCATTGAAGAAGCAAAAGACCACTGAATCCGAGAACAGTTTGCTCAACACATCGATCAGCATTTTGAAAGGACTCCGCAGGCCTATACAAGTCTCTACTCCTGTGTCGGAGTTGAAATTTCAGAGCAACAAACTGGATCTCACGGACGACGAGATCAATAAATCTGTAAACGACGCAGCTGGCAAGAAATGGTGTACAATCATGTAAATTACCGCAGAGTTTTATATATACGCGGCATCATGCAGTTTTTTTTTCTTCACGCGAAGTCACAGCGGTATTCGTGCCATAAGCCAGATTCTCGGTACAAGCGTTGTAACAATAATGTTCACTGAAAAACTGTCGAATAATTCGGTCGATTTAGCGCGGAAGTATGGTTGTTCGTTCACTCATTGATCGTACTAACCTCGGGCCCTTTGTACGTTGTTTTTTCGTTAATAGTTTCGTTTCGAAGAACGCGTTTGCCAAACACCGTACAACACACTGTACTCTCGTGAGCAAACTCGGCTTCCGCTAGGAGAAAAAGTCACTTAGAAGAAAGGTTTTCTAGCACTTCGTAAATTTATTTCAAGGACTGAAATAAATGTTAAAAAAAAAAAAAAGAAATAAATACCAAGCGGTCTGTGACCATTTTTCTACGCCACTTTTTCCCCTAGCGAAAGTCGAGTGTGCTCGCGATGGTACACTGCAATTTCTCGCGACAAGGTCTCGTTTGTAAAACGACATTGGCGCGTATTAACGATTTCAGTTTTAAACCGTGACCGTACATTACTCTTGTACAACGTGTCTTACACGTACTTACCGTTACACTAAAGAGCATCTTTTTATTACCGAGCGACCGAATGTAATTTATGGGGAAAGCGTGTAACGGTAAAAATCTCTTCCCTTTGTCGACGTCCAACGTTTCTTTCATCGAGCTGTGTAGAGGAGTTTACACTTTTGAAGTATTTAATCGTTCGATCGATAGATTATATTTTTCATATATATATACTTTCCTCGAGATGGATCGACTGATTCGCGATACACTAAATTGCAGATGTATCGTCCGAGTTTATTATTAACGAAAAAAATTATTTCCTTTCGATTCGTTCCGCGTTGCAAGGAATCATTTTATTTTCCGACGTTATGATATATATATATAAGATAGATAGATACATATATAGAGGGGGTGTGTGAGTGTGATTGAATGAATGATTAAATGAATGAAAGAGAGAGAAGGGAGGGGGAGGAAGAGAGAAAGAGCGAAATAGGTTTATTGTTTTCGAGGGTATGCAAAAGATTAATATTTACCCTGATTCGTAGAGCTTGCTTCTCGTTGAGCAAACATGACACTCTTTTTTTTATTACTTATTTATAATAGGGTAAATCGTTGATAAGTAACTTGCGTTTTATCGAGCGACGAATACGACATCGTATATCGAAGCTAGTTTTCTTTCGATTACCATCCAGATGTTCACGGATGGAATTTTTAACGAAGCAGAAAACAGAAGATCAGGTCCGTCGCTCGCCACCGTTATTATGTTAGCTGAACATAAAGGAAATGTATGTAACGCAATCAATCAAATATCGTATCGGTTAAGTTAGACGTAACAACACGACGCTCGATGCAGCAACGTAATTCGACCAAAGTCGTCCTTTCAGGACGCGAGTAAGTAGTTTCGTTAAGTTGATTTCTTTTTTTTGTTCTCGGCACATCTATTTTTCAAGTTCTGCAGGAGCAGTTGTTGCTCCGCGATAGGAAAGGATGTTTCATCTTTCGAGCCTTTGCATTCTTTAGCCACTGATCGGGGCAAATCGCGTGACAGTTAGGGGATGTACACCTCTTGAATTGGGAATTACGGAAATTTATGCCAAATTAACAGTCATTTTAACATTTACTTCAGTACTTGAATTATATTTACCAAATGGTAGTACGCCCTTACTCTTATGCCACATTTTCCCCTGGCGGAAGCTGAGTTTGCTCGCGAGGGTATGTACTTTTATACTTGTTATTACGATCGAATAGAAGAGAGTTGAAACCACGATGTATGAATAATGTATATAGAAAATGAGATTTATAATAAATCCTGGGAATGCGAGAACAGTGGTGTTAATTTTTAATGTCCCTAATGTTCTTTCCGAATACCACGTCGTTATTGCCTCATTACGAATTACCGGAATCTCATGTTAATCCGCGTATGTCCGGTTTCTTTTTTTCCAGGAACGTTGCTTCTGTTGCCTAGTCTTGGCCGAACGAAACAAGCATTGTAGTGTGCCTGGCGAAGGTGCGCGCAGCTGTAAGTGAACGGCTTAATCCCTACGGCTTAAATTTAAGCGAGGATGACGTCAATTAGGGGAGAAAATCGTGCTTAAGAGCCGGCCGTTGGGTCTAGACAAATGTTTAAGCGCTCCTAGATCTTACGGGCTTTCCAGGCTGTGATGGAATAATACCTATTCACGAAACGAATCAAATGGTTCTCGCGTGCCCGCTTCTTCGTGGAAAAAGTTTCCATTGAATTGATGTGTCACGGTCCATCGTATACAGGGTGGTCCACGCAATTGTTTCAGATCATAATTCCGTTATTAATGCATTTATGAAAAAATGCCAAAGGAGAAAGATAAATGGCTCGAAGAGCACTACATCTGCAGGCCCTTAGATTTTTTTAAAGTTGAACTCTGTTCATTCTACGTACAAAATTATTAGGATGCTATGGCAAAAAAATTATTAGTTCTCGAGATATTTTCGAAAAATGTCTATTGAAGAAGATGTAACGGAACCAGCGTCGACCGATTAAGAAGCATCGAACTGGATTGAAATATCCGTGTTGGTTCGAGAGTCACGTTTTCCTTGAGCGATTTCTCATTTGGTGAGCGTCCGCGCGCTTAAAGATCTCTCGATCGCTTGGAACATCGTACGGTTGACTTTAAAGAATCTCATCACGCCGGCAACGCTAAAACTCTATCTTGCGACGGTAAAGAGTGCGACGCGTTTCTGTTACATAAGGCGGAGTATAAATGTAATTCCAGTTCCCCTTGGGAAATTCAAGACTGCGACGAGGCACGCGTGGAAACCGGAGCAGCCATTGGCGTAGGAAGACTTGGACGTCGCGTGCACTCCATACACAATCCCGTTCGTATATATATATTGTATCATATATCCTATTTAAGTTTACATATGTATAGGTAGGTACGGTTGGCCGATCGGCTCGACTATCATCAATCCTTCCGATTGGTTTCGCTTCGATTCCGTTATCTCGACACTGATCGGTGACATTCCCTTCGTTTCACAGAGCAGAGTGTTCCTTCGCGAACCTTCGTAACCGAATTACATTGGTACGTGTCCACACATACATGCGAAAATCGTTGATTAATCGGAACGAGACCGAACCGAGATCGTACAGAGACCGAATCGCTTTTGGCTTAAGGTGGCTCATACTTAGAGATGGCGTTCACTGCTACTTGTAAATCACGAATTATTCGATCACATTCGTTCCCAATCGCGGTGATTTCTCACAGTGATTCGTTATTTTTCATGATCGTCTTTGATTGGTGGAGAATATAACAACAGTTCTTTGCACGCGTCGCGTAACCTATACAATTTATATTAATTGCATACAAACCAAAAATGCTAGTTACGTCGTATAAAGAAACGACGAGGAACAATGAAGATTAATGAATAAATTAATGATTATAAATTCTAATCAACAATGTATGGTGTATAAATCATTATTTTATAATTATATTTTTTCGACTGATTAAAGATCAAGAATTAAGATCACAGTGAGAAAATTCACTGAAGATAAAAGGATCACGATCACAGACGTAAGTTAAATCACGACTATGATCGTGATTCTACGATCACTGTGATAAGTCATTGTTAGTGATTTTTGCACACCATCTCTACTCATACCTGACTCTCTAGACTCTAGGCAATAAGGCATCATATTGCTAATTGGTATGAAATACCCACCAATACATTGTAATAGCGTATGAAAAATTATATCTATGAAATTCAACGACATTTCTAATGATCATTCAAAAAATATATTTTGGTTAGTCGTATGACTCCACTGTGCTCGTTTCTGGTACGTTTAGCAATGCTGTTTTTGCACGCGTATCTATACATGTAAAGTTAATTATATTCCCGTGCATTATAATTTAGAAAATCAGAATTCACTGAAACACAAAATAAGTAAAATATCTTTTACTAAGTATCACCCTACTTCAGCAACGTTGCCAAGTCCTCAACATAGTTCCGATAACTATCCAACAATTTTTATTTAATTATCTAGTCTTTCGAATTTGTTACGAACCACCTTAAGTACAGTCGATACTACCGGTGGTTCGAGTCGCGTGCATTTAGATCGTGAGAACAATCGTTCGATGGAGGCAAGGTCCTTGGCAGCCTTCCCGAAGCCCGGGCCAGAGTACCGTCTTGATCCTGGTGCCGTTCGAATTGGGGGACGCGTGATGTCGTACGTGGAGTTCCCGTCTGAATTCGAGAGGCTGCGCCACGTCGAGGAGCAACGGAGTGACACGGGCCAGACAGGCCCAAGCCAGACTGGAACAGGCAACGGCGTAGTTTTTGACCTCGACGCATCCACGGAGACACGGAAAGTCGTACAACGTTCTCTCCAGCTGGTTGACCACCTGTTCCGCGACCTCCCGGGAACCGGTCCGCGCACCGGAAGTCGCCAGTTGCCGTTTCACGCATTCCTCCAACCCTGGCGTGACCGACTGCGCAGTGATCGCGGCGGTGCCGTTTACGATCTTCAGCGCTTCTGCGAATCTCGACGTTTGTGTTATGCCCGCCAGACGCCAGGAAAGCTATAAAATTAACGGGGGGAAAGAAAAGTATCAGTTAAAGGTAAAAAACGTTATTAACCCTCATCCGTCCCTTATTTTCCCAACTTTATTTGTCTCTCGGTGTAAAATTAACTTAAGGAAACAAACAATTTCCTACTTTCGTTCTGGTCTTCGTGAATCAGTTTGTAGAATCTGATTTTGCATAAAAATTCGCAGTCTACACATCACGTTCAATGACGCCTTGAAGACGGCTTAAAGACGTCTTAGATCTAAAATAGCCGTAAAATTGTTGTCATTCAAGGCGTCATGTGCTATCTGGGACGGAATCGATAGATCGATCGGTCCTAACGGTCGAATTTCGAGAGATTTTTCTTCAATGTTTCGAGATATCGGGGTGAGGACCAGGCTTACCGGCTGGTAAGAGACATACAAAGCTGATCTCGGCTTTCCGAGTCGCCGAGATCTTGGTTTCTCTTCGGGATGGTGGATACGGACGTAAGTCACCCCGGGGAGACCGGGTAACTTGGCTGGGATACGCTTTGATAATCCTATGATTTATTCACGACGACGGAAAATGGATTTCGCTTTGACCCCGTGCCTTTTTACGGCATCGTTTCGTTCGGATTTTATACTTTCGAGCGTTACGCGGCGGATAAAGCGTATCTCGTGAAGTTTTCGTGGTTTTTCAGCTGGTCGCTGATGCGAGTGCCCGTTCGTCGTACACCCTAAATCAATTTCCCTTGTCGCCAGATTATTATATCTCTCGAACGAATGGTCGCAGACCAGTGCTGGATCAAGGGGGAGCTCAGAGGGGGCTGTAGCCCCTGGCCCCGCATTTCAGGGGGCCCCGTTCTAAACCTTCCATTTCGTTACCGATGAAATGTCATTGAATTTTATTTAAAATAAATTAAAAATTTTGAAAATTGTATTTTTCTTTCTTGAAGATTGTATTTTTCTTTTTTTGGATATTGTATTTCGCTTTTCCACCAAGGGGGCCTCCGAAAATCTGATAACCCTGAGCTACAATAAATCTTAATCCGGGCTTGGCGCAGACGACACACGTTTCGATACTTCGTACCTACGATTCGAAGTAGCTGTATGTGTATGCTTGATCCCGTCGTTAATACACGCGTACGAGCAAAAGATTATTTTTGCCAGGCACTACACCACCACACGCACCTGTCTACCATCCGATCGATCGACCATTAACGTCAAAGCCGTCGGTCGCGCGAAGGGGCGCCGGCGAGGGTGCACTTTTGCGATCGAGTGTACCACCGGCAAGTGGCAGAGGCGCTAGTCCGTCAGCCTCTGGCTATTACTTTGCATACATACAGCTGCCTTTCTACACATCGGCGCGTCCTGCCCGGGAAATCGATGAACTAAAATAAATATCATATCTACGACGAAAGCGACTCGCTCTCTCTCTCTCCCGCTTTGTTTGTCTATCGTTCAGTACCCGTACTTCCCCCCACCACCACTTTTTTTTTCAACGTAGAAACAATCGAATCTTTTTTGTTCTCTTTGCGATGCTCGAAGCTTTGGTACCGTTTAGAGACGCTATAATAAGAGACTGGATTGTGGACCATTAAAAGCCATGAATTTGCTAAATCCTACGAGAGTGAAAGAAATATACACTGTTTCGCTCGTAATCTGAGAAACGTTTAGAACGGTATTTTCATTTGCATATGAGACGTATAAATAATAGTAATTATGAAAGTGAGGGCCAGGAATATTTCTCAGAATTTCTTTAATATAAAAGTAAATAATCCTCAACTTTCTTCGTTGTCCTATCTTTGTCATCGCGCGATACAAGGAATTTTCCTGGTCTCGTCCACCGTGCGTATTATGATCTAACAGAATATGTATTTCAATCAGTTGGATCGACTATAAAAAACAAAACACGAAACTACGTTATGTCAATGGCTAATCAGAGATCATTTTCCTTCTCCATGAATTTTCCACGAAAATTCTCTGCCAGTTTGACCGTCGATTATCAGCGAACAACGTGCCGCAACGCAGCGCACACCTGTCCGATTGGCCCGAGAGTTTCCTCGGAGAAAATGAGTTTTCGCGGGTCACTCGGTTGTTCTGGTTTTCGCGGTCCCCGAAACAAGGGCAAAACTTCGTTCAAACCTGCACCAACCCGAGTTTCCCAGGCGTGTTCGATAACGAGCGCGACACACACACATATGTGTCTGTGTTTAAACGCGACAAAAAGGAGAAAAATAGGGTAGGAAGCGCGAGAACGACGACACGCTGAGCGTGTCGCGATGAGTGGCGGCAGCCCGCGGAGTGCAATCAATTCCAGCGAAATCAGTTTAATGGTCGGGCTTCCGACGTTCGCGCAGCGGTACGTTGCCTTTTTTGCTCTTCCAATTTCAACCGAACGTTACTGCCGCCGCGCGACAAACAAAACCAGGACTGGAACAAGAATCGTGGTCGACCGATCGAGTCTTCGACCCTTCTCCCCCCACCCCTGTGACAGACGCATATGCTAATTGAATAGGGTCATCCGATAGTACCTTTGTGATTTTGAGGTTTGATACTTTTTTAATATTTTTAATATTTTTGTAATTTGAAAATTAAAAATTAATTTAAAAATTAGTTTCTTAATATTTTTCTTTTTCTTTGACAGGTTCAATGTTGGGCAAATATAACTATGGGTACGGACACAACAGAACAATTAAAATTATTCAAACGAAAATCAGCGTTCTATAAAAATTACGTTTCGTAAAATTCGTAATTTTGTCGATCGATATGATCGATCTTTCGAGCAAACAATTCGAAGTTGGGTAACGAAATTTGACGAAATTGGTAGTGGTCAATTCATCGAGTGTAAAAACAGTTGATTGCCATCGAACATACATTAGTTCCTATAAGTTCTCTTAAAAAAATTATTTAAAAAAAAAACATTACTTATTAATTTGATATGTTTTTCATAAATGTGAATATTAAATACATATGCTTACCAAGTTTGGTTTCGAAATTCCCCCATTAATACACCCAAATTAAGCTTCTGAACTTCTAAATAGGCGTTCTGTACCACTCTGCGGCGTCGCGATTATTTCTACTTTGCATAAAACACCACTTACCACGACCACCGAATAGAGGATCTTTGCTTTCAAGTCGGCTGCATCCTTTAGGGGTTCCAAAGCGTCCAGAGCATCCAGCGTATGCAAATGAGCCTGCCCGTAGAGGGCCGCGTATCTCTCGGCGAGCCGTTCGGCGGTCACCTCGCCGTAGGTGAAACGCGAAAAATTCACGTCCGTTCGGAGAAGTAGTTCGCAACCGTTCCGAACCAACGGTTCCGGGGTCGGGCTGCAGCTCTCGTCCGTGTGATAGCCTGCGCTGCTGCTGGATTCCTCCTCGTAGTCGTCCGCCAGATTTTCATCCGGATGGAATACCTGCGCGCAAACATTCCATGCGATCCGTATTCGTTTCGTGGTTCTTTTGCCACGAGAACGGGTTGGGGGGGGGGGGTACTTTCAAGGGAGTCCCGATAAAAAAAAAAATGCGTTAGATTCCGATGTTTCGTATTAAAAATAATCATCGAATCGCGGCGAATGCTCGCAAATTTACTATGAAATTTTGACTCGGTCCCGAGCACGTAATAGGAGAACCTGTTGTACCTTGGGTACATATTTTTTTTTTTACTTCTTTATAGATTGCAATTCTACTTATGGATTTGTGTTTAGAACGAGAAATTCTACAAGGTTCACCCCCAGTGGATATTGCAAGGCAGAACAAAGGTTAAAATTTGTTGGACAGTGGAATACGCTGGGTTGGTGTTACCGTTTCTTCGAGGACTTCAGCATACACAAACACACACGTTGCAAGTAGCTTCGTGTAATTTAAGATCATGGAAGTGCCCTTGAGGGATTTCTCGCGTGGTTAGAGAAGTTTGCGACCGCGAATCCTGCTGCGTTCGTCAATGGGCTTTCGGTGCTGCTGAGCCAGGATCTCGTGGGAGTGGCACCGATCACGATCTACTTTGTAGCTTTTACGTGTCGAACGAGAAAGGGAATCGATGGGACGACTCAATGTCTCCGTACGACCTTGTCACCATACCTTGTAGATATCACGTGATCACGTTATTCGTTATTCTCGAATAATTTAATATTATTCAAAATTTTTATTCCAAGATTATTCGAATAAAAATTTATTCGAACACTTATTCGAATGAAAATTTAGTCGATTAATGCTAAACTCTGGTGCACCCCACTATAGGACGCCATCTGTGACCAAAGTTCTGATTCAATTGGTGGACCGACCGAACTGCCACGAGAACCTGCGTGCCCATTGAGTCTTTAACGCTACTTTAACGCGAGTCTACTGTATTCCACGTACCTGCAAACTGTCTTGGGTCATCAGTTGCAGTGCCAGGTCGCAGCCCCTGGAGAATTGCAGCAGGCTAGCAGCTAGAGCTGGATTCTTTGTGTTCCCGGCGAGCGTCGATCTTCTCAAGGCCGTCCATTGTCGGAGGGCCTCCTTATCCTGCTCGACCCTCCGTTTCAACTCGGATAATAGACTTTCTAAGCTGCTCGGATCGCTGACTTTCTCCAGCGTGTTCAGTAGACTCTGATTATCGATCAGCCGTTGCTGGATCTCGCTGTACTTGAGCGAAAGTTGCCGCTGGTGCGAGGCCGCCTGGACACCTTGGTCCGCTGGAAACGCGCGACGGGATTACTTCTGTTCGTCGTCGTGCATAGGGGGGGGGGGGCACGATTTATTCGAGAAATCGACAGTTTTCACCCCGGTATACCGGTATGAATCGCGATAATTCATTGAAAATAGCGAGTATTATACGTACACGTCGCACAATGGGCCATTACCATAAAATACAGATATGTGTCGATTATTGTCTGGCTTGTTCTACACCATTATTGCCCAGGCGTTATCCCCACCACTGGGGGGAGGGGAGGCCCTGTAACCTGTCAAGCACATACTTTGTTGCCCCTCCGTTTTTGTTACGAGGGTCTGAAGCATTTCTCCCTATAAGATTATTGTCGTTGAACTCGTCTCAAAAAACGCTACCATACTATTAATAAACAAGTATGCCAGTCCATATTAAGAAATTAAGGTTACCTTCAAACTTCTATACAAATAATTACTTTCATATCTTCATTGGTTTACGAATTATAATTTTTTCCCAGTTAAAATCGTCATTTGGCCCACTGTGCGGACATTTATACGATCTTCGACTAGAATTTCGATCTTCCAATCGCGAATCGACGTACATATTCAAAGTGACACCGCGGTAACTAGAACAGGGTGCATAAGTGCTGCGATCGACGTTAACAAGAAAAATCGTTGCACCGTGCCTTGTAAACTTTCCGAACTTTCTCTCGCGTGATCGTCTCTCGTGTGGCCATCGACGCGTGTCCATCAGAAAAAACACTAGAATTATTACTGTTGTCCGTCACTACGTTACCTTTATGCGTTCTAGCGTGTTTCCCGAAGCTTTCCAGCTTGTGCACGGCCAGCTTGTACGCGTCGATCCTGTTCTCGAGCTGTTCCTTGAGCGCGACCGGTAATGGGACCAGATTCGTCGCGGTGCCGTTCTCCGAATTACAGGTGTGACCAGACGAGGACACCAGACCGTGCCTTCCCAGTCCTTCCACGGCCCTTTCCAGCGCTCTCTTCCGGCCGATCAGCGTGTTCCTGGCGTTCGGTGCCAAACGGTTCAAGGACACCAGCAGCTTGCACCAGATTCGCAGACGGAAGTGATCCTGCCCGATCGAGATCAGGTGCACGATCCGCCAAAGTACCTGTTCCACACGAAGAATCTTCGCGTCGTTGATGTCCAGCTCGAGCAGCCTCGAGTAGAGTGCTTCTAAAAGGGCCAGACTATGTGGCAGCGTTTCGATCAACAGGTCCACGGGAATGTCCGGCAGGGTGGCTTTAAGGGTGTATCGTGGTAGCTTCAGGAGGAAACCCGCCGCTTCTCTGTACTGCCTTCCCTCGTACAGCCTCAGAAGTCTATTTCGGAGGACACAACGTTCGCTTTCAGTCATCGATGCTTGTAATTACGTGGTGTCCGCTCGTACCGACGGGACCCGACGAACCTAACCTCCTTTCTCGAGCCACGATCGATAGAACCGTAATCGCGGGGGGTTCCGATCGCGGAGGTGCAATAACCCGGGGCCGACCGCGAGCAAATTATCGAGACCAGTTGTTGGTAAGGTTCCATGCGTTTAGAGACCTTCTAATTACAGTTATGAAATACCGTCCGTGATTTTGATTGCCGCCATTTTTAGGCAAAGGTGTTATAAATGCCGGTGTAGTACAGACTCTTCTCGATTATTGTCTGGCTTGGTCTACGCGATTATTATCCAGATGTGGACAAAATAATTTCTATTTCATTTCATTATAAAATTATATCGTTCTTATTGGAAAATCCTTAGAATAAAGAAATTCCAACATTGTCCCTTGCCTTTATGGATTAGTTTAGAAAATGTAATTTATCATAAAAACCCGCAGTCTAGTTATCAGATACTCGCGTGTCTAGTAATATGGACGGATTAAACAGCGAAAGGAATCGAAAGCTAACGTACCTTCTCAGCGCCATTCGCGGATTCGAGCCCTCGTCCTCGGGCGATCCTATTTGCCCGACTTGAAATTGCGAGCCTGGACCCCATACTAGCCTCTGGATGGTATTCCTCGGTCGTTCTGGTCTGATCCTCTCGCAGGAGTTTAGTCCGGCCGGTGGAACGGTTCTTCTGCTCATATTTCCCTTTTCTATTTTTTCCTTATCTCTTCTTATCTCTATCAACAACAGCAGAAGTATCCTGGAAACACGTTTCGCTCCAGAATCACCCTTACACGATGATCTTCCTCGACTATTGCACCGAACTATTCAATTCATCCAGGTGTCCCGATCGCTTTCCCTCTTTCTCCTCTCGATCACGACTTACATACTCGATTCGATTTCGTTCGTATATCCTTGTCTCTAATCTCTAGCTTTGCGACTCGATATCGTCGCCGATTTCTCCCGTGGAGATTCCCTTCTCCGATCCGAAGCCGGCCAGGGACTCTCGGGTTCACCGGTGGAACGTGTGAGTCATCTTGGAAGAAAGAGGCCCCCCTCCCTGGCTTTCTTTTCCGACGAGTCTGCCTCGCTGATGATATTCTTTCTTTCTTTTCCTTTCTTTCTTTGGTTCCGACGACACGGTTCCCTCCGACACGGCCGATTCTCCAGTGTGCACGAAACACCTGGCCTATAGCCCGGGGCTTGACCGGTCCCCACTTATCCACGCGGTGGGAGATGGACCTGCGGAACACAATTTAGGCGATAGCCTTTTCCTTTTTTCCCACCTCCTTTCTTTCGGTTGTTCCTGTTTGTCGAAATTTCTACGTGGCACGTATAGATCCCAGAACAGCACAGAAGACGAACTAATTTGGACTGTCCCTTTTTCTCCGTCGATCGATAAACTTTATCATGAGCACATTCGGTTGAAACGATCCAGATATCAAGCTTCAAGTACACGTACCACAATGCACCAATAATAGAGCTCCGAAACACGATCGACGGCATTAAAACGTTCGACGAATATCGCGATTAAAGCTTGTGATTAACTGTCATGGACCGAAGATGTGATAGAACGTGGTCCAACGCGAAGAACGTGATCACAGATGGAGGCGGGAGACTTTTCGGCGAGTCCCGTCGGGTGATCCGACATCTCCGCAAGAAGCGCGAACAACGATATCCTTGCTGGGCTCTCGGGCCATGGAGGATACACGAGGCCCCGTTGACTTCTCATCGGCCAGACCGGATGGAGGTGGAACAGAGGGAATCGCGTGGATGGCTCTCACGAGAGATCGGCCAGAGTCGGTTGGAGACTGGTGATGGTGGTGGGATCGAGTTTGATCCGTGCACACGAATATCAACCCTGTGAACGAATACTTTCGCACGCAGCGATTCGTATGCTCGTTCACGGATACATTCGCCAGACACTTGAAACGTATCACGGGAGTATGATGTACCGTTTCGCAAGGTGAAACTGTTCGAAATGTGTATGCACAGAGGAGAATGGATGATGCAAGAACGACTCGATTCCAGGCTGGTCAGGAAAAAATGGAAATAGAAATAAGAAACGAAAAGGGTTATAAATAGCGGTGTAGTATAGCAGTATATATGTTTGGAAGCTAAAAATGGATATTTTTAGAAATATGCCTAATGATTTTACGAGTCGATTCCAGGCTGGTCAGGAAAAAATGGAAATAGAAATAAGAAACGAAAAGGGTTATAAATAGCGGTGTAGTATAGCAGTATATATGTTTGGAAGCTAAAAATGGATATTTTTAGAAATATGCCTAATAATTTTACGAGTCGATTCCAGGCTGGTCAGGAAAAAAATGTGAATGGAAAGAAGAAAAATGGTAAAAATGCGGACGAACAATGGCAAGAAAGGAAGAAGGATGTCCGAGTTGGAGTGCACGGATGGGATCGAACTCGTTTGTACGGAATACGTAAATAATGGACACTCGGGAAAATGAGGTTAACGCAAAAAAAAAAAAAAAACAAGGAAAGTGCGGTACGATTTACCGGTAACAGAGGGAATAAACGAGCAAAAAGGGGATCTCCCGCGGAAACGAAGAACGTAGACGATTTCGATAGGCAAAAATCGTGGACAAAGTTACGAATCCAGCCACCTGTCGCGACTTTCCCAGCGATATAAATTCCCGAGCCTGTTGCTCTACATCGCAACAGTGGCGTTACGCATTTGATCCTAGAAGTCTGAAGCGCATCGCGTATTTACGACATCCGGTCGACGATCGTCGTCGTCGTTGTCGCTGTATCATTAAATTGTTTTAGCGTGGATCTGTAGTTTCTAATTTGGTAGAACTCAGATTGTTCAATGTAATAATTCTCTTTCTCGCAGCTGTTTAATTATTCAATTGTTATTCAATTTATTCAATGATGATATTTTTACTTGTTTGTCCTATTGTTTTTTTCCTTACATTTGCTGACGATGTGAAATTGTATCACGTTATAGAAAGACTCATTCAGAATGGCATATATAACCTCGAATCTTGGTGTACTAACAATCGACTGTTTTTTAACTTAAAGAAATGCTCGGTTATTAATTTCTATTGAGCAAACGCCACGATACATTATAAATATTCATTGCAAGGTTTCTTTCTCACATCTATGTATCATCTATTCGAGATTTTGGTGTAATTTTTTCGGTTGATCTCTCTTTCACTGGTCACATTACCAAGGTTACTAGCAGGCATTCAAGACTCTTTGGTTAGATACATAAAACATCTAAGTATTTTAAGAATATCAACACCTTAAGATTGTTATACAGTGCGTTGATTCTTGGCTCATTTCAACCGTTAAATAAATAATAATAATGACGAAAATATTACCTCGTGTACACGCGTACCGAGTGAGAAGAACGAGACGAAAGAGAAGTGTCGCGGTGCAAGGGGGCAAAAACGGAAAAAAAAAAAAAAATGAACGAGCGGAGGAACCGGAGACGAGAATGTCGACCTACTGTCCTGCATACCGCGGCGGGACTGACTACCTGCCACGAGGAGGAGAATCGACGAAGAACACGCGTGTGCTTCGAAACGGAGTCAAACTTTTACGCGGGGCCGAGATCACTGGTCTCCGTCTTCCGATACTTCCCCGGGGCACGGACGTGACTTCCGTCGCGAATCTGGGTTTCATCGATCAGCACCGATCGCGATCACCTTTCCATCCTCGGTCGACACGCATGTTCGCCACGTGAATTTCGAGTAGGGGAATAGTTGTTCGTTGAAAATCGATAGTTAAACTGGCAGAGAATTTTCGTGGAAAATTCATCGAGAAAGAAAACGATCTCTGATTATTGTAGATATTGATGCAACGTGGTTACGTACTTTATTATTTATACTTGGTCCAACCGGTTGAAATAGTTGGAGGTCCCAAGCTAAGTAAAAGTCTGGCGTCGCGTAGACAAATTTATGAGGGGCAGTGGAAACGGCTGTACGTAGCCAGACACACTTTATTTTGTTTTTGAAGTCATATATCGTTGAAATTGTACGGGTTTTGGTAATAGAGGGTGTTGGTCGTGTTTCAAATTATACACGCCACAAGTCCCCATTTCCGGGTCTTGCAATATTTTTGTGACACCCCGTATACAGAAAATTTGGTATATTTGAACGAGAAGGAAATGATTTTGGTCCCGAATTAACTAACAACGGAAGACGAGAAGCCCTACGCTTAATGAGCGCGAAATCCAATTATAAAGTGAAACGCGATTTTCAAAGGAAAACAAAGGTGAATCATAATTATAAAGTTCGCGGGAATCGGCGGATGATTCTCCTGTCGGAGATTAAGAACCCTAGCTGGACGTAGGTGGAACGGCTGGAAATGGTCCCAGGTAACCTATTATCGCCACTGGGTTATCCCATAATTTTCATTTAACTAACACGCGGCGCATCGGTTAACGGCCATGCCCGCGTAAAACCGATCTATTACCATTAAAATTAAAGCCGGTATCGCGTTATCACTTTTACTCGGTGCTTCTTCGTCGGGACTATCGTTGCTCCGTTGGTCAGATTGGGTTTGCGCGGTAGAAAACGCAATACAGTGATTCCTCGATGAGTGCGACATGACGTTATTCCCACCACTGGGGCGTCCCTCTTTGGAATCAGTCAAAACAGAGTAAACTTTTCCGACTTGCCATGAATGCTCTAAAGCAAACCCGAGTATGTCGCACTCATCGAGACATTACTGTACTTACGAGTTTCGAATGAGACAATGTACGTGGACTTAAGACTCTTCCAGCTATCAAGGATAGAGAAGACGTGATCCCAAAAGTTGGTCAAAAGTTTGTTAAAAGTCGAATTTTAATGATCATAAAAATCATTTTAGATTCTAACTACTCGAACAGTCTTTCAGATACCGTTTATATTCCTGGTTTATAATAGTATTAATTAGATTTGCGTCATGTGAAAATTAATGGAGCACAAGCTTCTTCATTAGACAGTATTTTCAATTTTCATATTTCCCCTGGATACTTTCAAAGTGAACTTGAAAAGAAACTTGGAAATTATTGACTGGTCCCGGTTCTCTACACATTTTTAAGGGTAATTTTACTACCGAGAAATCGGGTCGATTCGGTTTAGTTAAACGAACGATCGTGGTGTTTCCCGTCGACGGAATCGATCGTCCATGTTCCGGTGCACGCGCTCTGGACGCATTAATCTTTCCGATTTCTTTGTTCGTGACACGGCTAGCTCGACGTTTCGCGTGGTTAAATCCGTTAACGCCGATCAAATCTTATCGCGTCGATGAAACATCGTTGCCCGACAGACTCGCCCTTTTTCGAGATCGTTGCTCGAGATTTAAAAATCTAAGAAAAAATTTCGATTTCACCGTTAGACACCGAAGCGTGCGACGTTGTCTGAAAACCCGTGGCTCGATCGATCGAGACCGATACGAACGGAAAGACCCCGAGGAAGGGTGCAGAGGGGAAAATCGGAAGTGAACCCAAAACGGAGATATCGTGCTTGATCGTCCAGCAGAGCGAGGACATAGGATCCCCGCGTTTCGATCCGTCGTATTAGTCGACGCCCTTCGACAAATACGACTATACGCGGGAAAATTGAACACGCTCACTCGTATATAGATATGCGTGCAAAAACAACGTTCCCAAACGTACCAGAAACACGCAGATTGGAGTCATACGACTAAATAAAATAAATTTTTTATTTATAATATATTGAAGAATGATC